TTTTATGACTTCCACCAAGATTCAGACGAAGAGTAAGAATACCCCCAAAGACATCGCAGTCGTGACGGATAATATCATTACCACCTTAAAAGGTGGCAAGAAGGTTGCAACTTCGTCAAGTGGTATAATCCCTACAAGTTCAATGACGTGAAGCATAGTCAAAGCATCCGTTCCTGTCAAAAGACAGCACGATGCGATGATAGTCAATTCTACCAAATCTGTTAAAGTAACAACTCAAACTCATACCGCCTTCACCTCGCTGGGGGCAAGAAGGAGGATTCCTACAACCTTAAAGGTTGCTCCAGTCATAAGTTCAGGTTCAAGGCTGGTCTACCCAAGGCAAAAGATTTTTTCTGACTCCATCACTGTGCCAGTCATGATGATGAGTACTACCTCGTATGAAGAACAATTGACGACTATGGCCTATGCAATTGAAAGATTACAACATTTTCTCAAGGAGCAAGATCTGAAAATTACCTCGCTGATAGAAAAGTTAAAATTGCGTGATGACAATGCTGAGTCAAGCAAAGGCCGAATTCCTCATTCTAATTCCATGCCAGAGAACACTCCAATTGATGAACAAAATGACGTGTCTGTCAATCCAACAATATATGTTGCCTTTGTCACCTCATTTTTCGTCCAACAACTTCGAGACATGATAGTGAATTGCATAAGAGAACAATAGAGTGACGTTCCTCAAAGTGCTCACATGTACTCAAAGCCTTACACAGAAAGAATTGACATCTTAAAAATGTCGATCGGGTATCAACCTCCAAAGCTTCAACAGTTTGACGGAAAAAGCAATCCCAAGTAACATGTTACACACTTTATAGAAACTTGCGGCAATGCTAGTACAAACGGAGATCTCCTTGTCAAGCAATTCGTTCGTTCCCTTAAAGAGAATGCATTTGATTGGTACACAGACCTCAAAGCTGAAGGTATTGACAGTTGGGAGCAGATGGAACGAGAATTCCTCAACCGTTTCTATAACACTCGTCGTACTGTAGGTATGCTGGAGCTTACAAACACAAAACAGATGAAGGGTGAACCCGTGGTTAACTACATCAACTGTTGGTGAGCTCTAAGTCTTGACTGCAAGGATCGTTTGTTTTGAAATTTCTACAGTTGAAGCATGTATGCTAGGTATGCGCTGTGAGCTTTTTTACATCTTACAAGGGATTAAGCCTCACACATTTGAGAGCTTGTTACTCGAGCCCACAACATAGAGCTTAGCATGGAAAATCATGGTGCTAGGAAAAATGTTCCAGATATATCCGACAACCTTCAAGAAGATGAGGGAAGTGAGTCCGAAGAAGAAGACAATATACTTCTTAACTTGGATGACGAAGTAACATCATTTTTCATTATAAGCATCAACTCGAAAGACTTGCATCAAGAAACGCACCATGGTACAACAATGACTTCAGCCGAAAGTGCAAAATCACAAGGGGCATTAAGTCAATAAAACCAAGAAGAAAATCCTCAAAGTGACGACGAGATAGTTCGTGCTCTTCAGCATAGGTTTGGATTGTTGTCTGATTCTTGCAAAGTAGAAGAATAATTAAAGTTGAAGTGCTCCCAGATACGAGTCTAAACTGTCGATGATACTCCCTGACACGAGTATAAACTGTCAACTTAAAAAAAAATGACATAGCTTGACACGAGTTTAAATTGTCTACCTAAAAAGAAAAAAATCAAGAACTCCTTGATACGAGTTTAAACTGTCTCTAAAAAAAAAAAAAAAATTTTGACACTCTTTGACACGAGTTTAAACTTTCTACCTGAAAAAAAAAATCAAGAACTCTTTGATACGAGTATAAACTGTCTAGAAGAAGAAAAAAATTAAACTACGTGATGACTTGATCCCTGTTCAGGGTACATAGGCATCTTGGAGGCCTGTTCCAAGTTCAGTCCACCATAAATAAATAAATAAATAATTAATTAAAAACTCCTCAAAGTTGCAAAATGGCAATGTAACATCTCAAAACTAATACTTTTTAAACCAAAAAAAAAAAAAAAAATTCGGCATGACCTCCCCTAAAAATAGGCCTATCACAACCTGTTTAATTGCATTTTTAACCTGTCACGGCTCAAATTCCGAATTCACGGCAATAGTAGATGATAATACACAATCAAATGACCTCGATAATACCTCAAACTAGTATTACTCTCCCCATGCATCAATAAGGTTTACATGTTATCAAATTCACATCCAAAATATCATCAAATACCTTACATTACATAACAAAGTTTTGCAAAATATACATATACACCTTCACACTTTTAGTGCTTTGCAAAGATAATGGGAGATATACAAAAGACACAAAAGTGAGCTTCTAGTATCGCTCAAGCTTGAGGTGGGTTGTTGTCCACCGGTTCTTTTTCAAGACCTGAAAAAAAATATATAAATAGTAGGGTGAGCTATATGCTCAGTAGGTGACACTTAAGACACAATTCTTGTGTCCTAGTGAATCCAATCAAAGCATAGGCCAATGGGAGATAGGGATCATACAACATAGGGGATCGAATACAACATACAATTCAATTCCAATTATAAACAATGCAATGCAATGCAATGAAATGCAATGCATGTCAATGACACTCCCCATTTTCATTCTCAAAACCATCACTTTCAAACGTTAATACAGCCCGCCCTTTGGTAATCCCGCCGCGACACGAGATGAGGATTGGCTAGTGTCCCTGACCCTTGGTAACCCCGCGGCATCATTATGGGGCCCAACTAGCTCAACCACACTAGGGCGACTCCCTAGTCCCCTCTAGGCTATATTAACCTCCGGCCCGTTGGTAACCCCGCAGCGACCGGGTTTGTCAAAACCAAAATTTTTTTTTGCAAAACATTCATTCCCAAATCCCCATTTTCATTTCAAGACAACCACTTCCCTTTTTCATGCAACCCAATGAGATGTAGGCTCATGTCATGATCTCAATATAATGACAAATGGGAACTTAGCACAATAATAAATAAGCATGTTCTCATGGCATCATTATAGCATGTTAGTAACCTCAAAAAAAAAAATGTAAACAACCATCACATAGACATACTTTTCATTCAACCATGTTATACACATTTACATAACTAGCATGTTGTCAATTAAATCATTTTAATCAAAATCAACAACAATTAAACATACTATAACACACATAGAGGAGCATGATTCATTATAGAGCAAGATTCCATGGCTTAAGATGTCCCTACCTCAAAAATGAGCAAACCCTAGAAAATGGGTCCTAAATTTCGAAGTCCAAAGGGTGCACCAAATCTGGAATTGTTGGTATGGATGTGTAGAGCTCGACACAAGCTTCGTTTTGCCTCAAACAGCACCTCAATCCGACAAAAGATGAAGGAGTAATCAACAATGGAAGCTTGAAATGAAAAGAAAAGAAAAAAAAAAAAAGACAAGAAGGAGAAGCAGAGGCGTCTGTCGGGAGAGAGAGAGAAAGGCAGAGACCAATTTTGGTCTCATAATTCACTTAAAAAGTGATGTGGGTCCCACTTCTTTTATAATTTCTTTTTCTTATTTCCTTTTTCATTTAAATCACACACCACACACACACAACTATATACAAACATCACATTCTCCCCAACTTAAAAAAAATTTCGTCCTCGAAATCAAGACATACCTGAGGAAGAAAACAACGCTGGATACTTAGAGCGAACCTCCTGTTCAAGCTCCCAAGTAGCCTCCTCAACTCCGTGGTGTCTCCAAAGAATTTTCACCATCGGTATCGTCTTGTTCCTCAACACCTTCTGTTGTGTGTCAAGAATCTGAACTGGTCCTTCCTCGTAGGAAGCATCCTCATCAATGTCCACATCTACCCAACTCAAAATGTGAGATGGATCCGGTTCGTACTTCCGTAACATCGATACATGGAAAACATTGTGGACCCTATCCAACTATGGTGGCAAAGCAAGCCTGTAGGCAACCTCTCCTACTCGGTCCAAAATCTCAAACGGTCCAATAAATCGTGGCGACAACTTGCCACTTTTTCCGAATCTCATCAATCCCTTCCGTGGAGAAACCCGTAGAAAAACGTGGTCTCCCACCTCAAAAGATAATGGTCATCTCCGCTTATCCGCATAGCTCTTCTGTCGGCTCTGAGCTGTAAGCAGCCTCTGTCTTATCAACTTAATCTTCTCAGTAGTCTCGAGTACAATGTCGGGTCCTAAGGCGGCTGTCTCACCTACCTCAGTCCAACAAACAGGAGACCTACAAGGTCTACCATACAACGCCTCAAATGGAGCCATCTGGATGCTCGCCTGATAACTGTTGTTGTAGGCAAACTTAATAAGTGGAAGGTGATCCTCCCAACTACCTCCCAAATCAAGTACGCATGCCCGAAGCATATCCTCCAAAATCTGGATAGTACGCTCCGACTGACCGTCCGTCTGTGGATGGAATGCCGTACTAAAATGCAACGCTGAACCAAACGCTACTTGAAGTCCTTCCCAGAACGTCGAAGTGAACTTAGCATCCCTATCTGACACAATGGTTACAGGAATTCCATGCAACCTTACAATTTCCTTCACATAAAGAACACCAAGCTTCTCTGCATCATCTGTTGCCTTAATAGGCAAAAAGTGAGCCGTCTTGGTCAATCTGTCAATGATGACCCATACGGCCTCATTGCCCCTCTGTGACCTTGGAAAACCTGTCACAAAATCTATAGCAATATGCTCCCATTTCCATTGCGCTACAGGTAATGGTTGCAACAAACCAGCTGGCCTCTGATGCTCGGCCTTCACCTGCTGACAGGTAAGGCATCTAGCCACAAACTGTGCAACATCATTCTTCATCCCGCTCCACCAATACTGACGTCTCAAATTGTGATACATTTTAGTACCACCTGGATGAACTGCAAAACGGGAAGTGTGAAACTCCCGTAGGACATCCTCACGACAAACTGTAGGAACCACCAACAAACCCCTGAACCGTAGACCCCCATCTGTATGTAAGGCCCAATTTTTCACTATCTCACCACTAGAGATCAAAGCGTGGATGGCATCTAAGTCCGGGTCCTGTCTCTGTGACTCAATCACTCGTACAACAAGAGTAGGCTGAGCCACAAGACTAAATAAGAATACCGACTCACTGCAACCATCATCATCACAACACTGTAATCCCATCTCTGCCAGATCTTCAAGTATCTTCCACTTCCGAATAGCTAAGCTGGCCAAAGTTCCACGAGATTTTCGGCTTAAGGCATCAGCTACAACATTTGCCTTGCCCGGATGATATTGCAAATCAAAGTTGTAATCTTCCAAGTACTCAACCCATCGTCTCTGTCTGTTGTTCAAGTCCTTTTGGGAAAAAAGGTACTTGAGACTTTTGTGATCTGAAAATACCTCGAATCTCTCACCATACAAGTAGTGTCTCCAACACTTCAAGGTAAACACAACTGCCGCTAACTCCAGATCATGAGTAGGGTAGTTAAGCTCGTGAGTCTTCAACTGTCGAGACCCATAAGCCACTACTCTACCATCCTGTATCAACACACATCCCAACCCATCACGTGAAGCATCACAATAGATCACATAACCCAAGCCTCGCTCAGGTATCACCAACACTGGAGCTGTAGTCAATCTCGTCTTCAACTCCTGAAAAGATGAATCACAGGCCTCATTCCAGACAAACTTGACCCCTTTCCGGGTCAAACGGGTCATAAGAGCTGCCAAACGGGAGAAAGCCTTCACAAATCTTCGATAGTAACCCGCTAAACCAAGAAAATTGCGGATCTCAAACACATTCTTGGGTCGCTCCCAAGTCAAAACTGCTTCAACCTTTGATGGATCAACTGATACTCCACCTTCTGAAACAACATGCCCCAAAAACTTCACCTCCTGTAGCCAAAACTCACATTTCTCGTATTTGGCATACAATCGGTGCTCCCGCAAAATCTGTAGAACAATACTCAAATGGACCTCGTGATCTTCCCGAGTCCGTGAGTACACAAGAATGTCATCCACGAAAACTACCACAAACTGGTCCAAGTAATCGTGAAAGACGCGGTTCATTAAGTCCATGAATGCCGCTGGCGCATTAGTCAAGCCAAAAGGCATAACAAGGAACTCATAGTGTCCATACCGTGTACGGAATGCTGTCTTCGGGATATCCTCATCCCTAACCCGCAACTGATAATAGCCAGACCTCAAGTCAATCTTCGAGAAACAACTGGCTCCCCTCAACTGATCAAATAAATCATCTATCCTTGGCAAAGGATACTTGTTCTTGATGGTGGCATGATTCAACTTCCGATAATCAATGCACAACCTCAACGAACCATCTTTTTTCTTAGCAAACAAGACCGGTGCACCCCACGGTGACACACTCGGTTGGATGAAACCTTTCATCCTCAAATCATCAAGCTGCCTCTTCAATTCTTCCAATTCAACTGGTGCCATACGATACGGTGCCATAGAAATCGGCGCAGTACCAGGCATCAAATCAATAGTGAACTCCACTTCTTGGTGTGGAGGCAACTCTGTCAAATCTTCTGGAAAAACATCCAAGAAGTCACAAACAATCGCCGGATAAACTTCTCCCACGACATCATCTTCTTCAGCTAAAAGGCTAGCTAAGAAGTAATCACCACGACTCCGTTTATGAATTCCATACAACGACGATGATTGGGAATCACTCCGATCTCCCGTGAAAAAGAAACAGTCTCCTTCTGGAGTGCAAACTGTAATTCTCCCTTTGAAACAATCGATCGTGGCATGAAAGAAGGCCAACCAATCCATCCCGAGAATGACATCAAAGCTAGTCATCTCCAGGAGGATAAGGTTAAACACAAAGGTCCGCCCGGCTATCACAATGGGACACTCCTGCACAATTCGGGTCAAAGACACTGAAACCCTAACTGGCGTATCAACACTCAACGCCTGTTCCAAGAAACTAACTTCCAACCCCAATGCAAGTGCAAATGATGATGAAATAAAAGAATGAGATGCACCAGAGTCAAATAATACACGGGCCCAACAACCAAACACTGGAAATATACCTCGAAGGACTGACGGTCCAAAAGATGCATCTGTCTGTGCCAGTGCAAAAACACGTCCCTGTGGTACCTGTGCCTGAGGACTGCCAACCTGAACATCTGACTGTTGCACTGACATAGTAGGAGTATCCCTCCTAACTGATCGTGAACCCTGTGAAGACATAGTAGGCTGTGGTGGTGGTGGTCTGAAACCTGACTGAACTGTAGCCGATTGTGACGGCCTCTGCTGTGACCCTTTGCCACTAATGGTGCCTGCTCTCTGACTCGGACAATCACGAATCAAGTGACCCTGCTGGCCACACCCATAACAAGCCTTCGGAGCTGACGAAACTGAAGACGATCTCATCGGACAACTGGACTTGTAATGTCCGGGCTGCTGACACTGATAACAAACAACTGCACTCCTGTCAGATCTAGCTGGCATAGGAGTGGTAGGAGCAGATCTTGTAAACTGTTGCCCCTGAAACTGAGATGGACTGCCCCTGTTCCTTTTCCAAGAAGATCCCTCTGAGGATGGCCCTGCACCCCTCTTTTGCTTCAATTGCCCTCTTCTTGCATCCTTCTCTCTATTGTCAGCCTCTAGCATCAAAGCCCTTTCCACTGCTTCAGAGTAAACCTTAATAAACTGTGCCGTGATCAACGGCCTCATTCGATCATTAAGACCCGATACAAACTTCCGAGTCTTGTTAGCTTCATCTCTCACCACTTCTGGAGCAAAACGGGAGAGTGAGGTGAACTTGTTCTCATACTCCGCCACTGATATGTTCCCTTGAATAAGATTATGAAACTGGTCTTGTAACTCCCATCTTTTGGAAAGCGGAAAGTACTTTTCATAGAACAGTTCCTTGAACTTGTCCCAACTCATCTCTTCAATCTTGTACTGGTTAGTGATCGACTTCCACCAAACCTTGGCATCCATAGCAAACTTGTAAGTTGCTAGGATGATCTTCAAGTGATCCTCTGTCACATCCATTGAGGTCAACTGAGTTTCGACTTGATCCATGTAGTTGTCGGCTACCATTGGATCCGCACCGCCCTCAAACATAACCGGCATCAGCTGAGAAAACCCCTTAATGATCTTGAGACGCTTCTGAGCTGGAGTCTCCTCAACTCGAACTGTAGGTTGTGGTACCAACTGCGGCTGAGCAACAATCGTTGCCCTCACGACATTTTGCAACAAACGATTAAACTCCAGTGCCACAGAACCTTCACCCACTTCTACGGGTACGGGTGTTTCAACATTCTCTCTTCTTGAGGGAACAGCTCTTGGGGGAATCAAGTCCCTAAGAAGCATGTTCTCATCAACTGGCTCCGCCGGATTGGAGCTAGAGCTCTCACCAACATCACCCCTTGTTGGTCTAGGGCCAACTTCTCTAGGTTCCTCACGCCGTGACATCGTGCTATAAAATGAGAAAACGATTCAGAAACATGACACTAAGGTCCACTGTGGACGACTCAACAAGAATTAATACCGTACAACACTTAGCATGCAAGACTATGCAAGAAACATTTTAACATAAACAAGTAAGCAAGTAAGCACATAGGCAGTTAAGCATGCTCATTTAAATAAGATACCACGTAGCAAGTAGTCAAGTAAGCAACACAAACAACATTCCATGCGACTCTATGTAGGCCTCTACCCGTCGTCCTAAAGGTTTTCGAACCTTGGCTCTGATACCAAATTTGTAACGTCTCAAAACTAATACTTTTTAAACAAAACAAAAAAAAAAAAAAAAAAAAAAAAAAATTCGGCATGACTTCCCCTAAAAATAGGCCTATCACAACCTGTTTAATTGCATTTTTAACCTGTCACGGCTCAAATTCCGAATTCACGGCAATAGTAGATGATAATACACAATCAAATGACCTCGATAATACCTCAAACTAGTATTACTCTCCCCATGCATCAATAAGGTTTACATGTTATCAAATTCACATCCAAAATATCATCAAATACCTTACATTACATAACAAAGTTTTGCAAAATATACATATACACCTTCACACTTTTAGTGCTTTGCAAAGATAATGGGAGATATACAAAAGACACAAAAGTGAGCTTCTAGTATCGCTCAAGCTTGAGGTGGGTTGTTGTCCACCGGTTCTTTTTCAAGACCTGAAAAAAAATATATAAATAGTAGGGTGAGCTATATGCTCAGTAGGTGACACTTAAGACACAATTCTTGTGTCCTAGTGAATCCAATCAAAGCATAGGCCAATGGGAGATAGGGATCATACAACATAGGGGATCGAATACAACATACAATTCAATTCCAATTATAAACAATGCAATGCAATGCAATGAAATGCAATGCATGTCAATGACACTCCCCATTTTTATTCTTAAAACCATCACTTTCAAACGTTAATACAGCCCGCCCTTTGGTAACCCCGCCGCGACACGAGAGGAGGATTGGCTAGTGTCCCTGACCCTTGGTAACCCCGCGGCGTCATTATGGGGCCCAACTAGCTCAACCACACTAGGGCGACTCCCTAGTCCCCTCTAGGCTATATTAACCTCCGGCCCGTTGGTAACCCCGCAGCGACCGGATTTGTCAAAACCAAATTTTTTTTTTTCCAAAACATTCATTCCCAAATCCCCATTTTCATTTCAAGACAACCACTTCCCTTTTTCATGCAACCTAATGAGATGTAGGCTCATGTCATGATCTCAATATAATGACAAATGAGAACTTAGCACAATAATAAATAAGCATGTTCTCATGGCATCATTATAGCATGTTAGTAACCTAAAAAAAAAATGTAAACAACCATCACATAGACATACTTTTCATTCAACCATGTTATACACATTTACATAACTAGCATGTTGTCAATTAAATCATTTTAATCAAAATCAACAACAATTAAACATACTATATAACATATAGAGGAGCATGATTCATTATAGAGCAAGATTCCATGGCTTAAGATGTCCCTACCTCAAAAATGAGCAAACCCTAGAAAATGGGTCCTAAATTTCGAAGTCCAAAGGGTGCACCAAATCTGGAATTGTTGGTATGGATGTGTAGAGCTCGACACAAGCTTCGTTTTGCCTCAAACGGCACCTCAATCCGACAAAAGATGAAGGAGTAATCAACAATGGAAGCTTGAAATGAAAAGAAAAGAAAAGAAAAAAAAAGACAAGAAGGAGAAGCAGAGGCGTCTGTCGGGAGAGAGAGAGAAAGGCAGAGACCAATTTTGGTCTCACAATTCACTTAAAAAGTGATGTGGGTCCCACTTCTTTTATAATTTTTTTTTCTCATTTCCTTTTTCATTTAAATCACACACCACACACACACAACTATATACAAACATCACAGGCAAAGTCACTCATCATGCGATATCAAAAAGTGCTCGTCGCACCTGTCAACTTGGCACGACACCAAAGTATAGCTGCAAGGAAGAAATTTGGCCTGCCGCCAAAGTGTAGCTGCAAAGAAGAATTTTGGTCTATCGTCATAGTTGTAGCTACAAAAGAAATTCTGATCCGGCAGAGTGTAGCTGCGAAGAAATAAATTGGTTCGTCACCAAACTGTAGCTGCCTAGTAAATTTCTGCTCATCGCCGAGGTATTACTGAAAGAGAAATTTTGTTTGCCGCCAAGGCTTTGCTGAAGAATCTGGTTCATCACCAAGGTGTTGTTGCAACAAAATTTTGACTCACCACTGAAGTGTCGTTGAAAGAAAAAAATTCTGCTCGCTGCCGAGGTGTTGCTAAAAGAAAATTTTGGCTTTCCGTCGAGGTATTGCTAAAAAATATTTGCTCACCGCCGATGTATTGTTGAAAGAGAATTAAGCTTTCCGTTGGGGTGTCGTTGAGGAAAAAAATAATTCTGTTCATTGCCGAGGTATTGCTGAAAGAGAATTTGGCTTTTCGTTGAGGTGTCGTTGAAGAAAAATTCTGCTTGCCGCCGAGGTATTGCTGAAAATGATCTTTGTCCTTCTACTGAAGTGTCGAAGAAAAAATTTCGCTCGCCGATAGAACCATGAAGAATATTACTGGCTGGGCACCAACATTCGAGTAATGCTATGAATACATCTCCATGGTGATCATATAAAGACAGCTCGCTGATAGAACCATGAAGAATGTTAGTGGCTGGGCACCAACATTCGAGGAATGCTTTGAATACATCTCCATGGTACTCATATGAAGATAGCTCGCCGATAGAACCATGAAGAACATTAGTGGCTGGGCACCAACATTCAAGGAATGCTTTGAATACATCTTCATGGCGATCATATGAAAATAGGGAGGCAAATAGAGCACCATATAATTGTTGTTTTGATAGAAAGTCGTGGAAACGCGCCAAGACATCTTCTAACCACTCCTAATATAGTTCGGTGTGTGAAAATTCAGCAGAAAATATACAGGGAATACTCCATGATACTTCCTTCGCCTGAACATTGAGACCCAAGAAGGAAAATTGGTTTTTCTCAACAACTTTATCATGAAGTAAAGAATTTAATATCAAGGCTTCCGAGACAATGGATTCTTCATTAATCTGATCAAGACCAAAGTTGGTGAGGTCGCCTGTAACCTTGCGTGTCCAATGAGAAGAACAATGTTCATTGTCTGGATCAAGCATTTGAATGCGTGTCCAATGAGAATAACAATGTTCATTGTCAGGATCAGGCATATGAATGGCATTGCGACCGAGAAGTGAGTCGGATATGCTTAATGTGATTCCTTGGCTTCTTCAACTATTTTTGCTCTTTAAGATAGTCATCTTTTGCTTCATAAAACACTTGAATACTACCATGATGGAACAACAAATAAATTTAAAGCTCGATCGGTGTTGTCTAAAAGGACGATTTCAATTTATGCTACGGCTGGTAAAATCAAGTTGATATATCCAATCAAGCCCTTAAAAAAAAAAATAGGTTAGAGGAACATGAAAAAAAAAAGGGGGGTGAAAAAAAAAAAAGAGAGAAAAAAAAGGAAAGAAAAAAAAGAATCGTGAAAAAAGAAAGGAAAAAGAGGGAAAAAAAAAAAAAAAAAGTCGTGAAAAAAAAAACGTGGGAAAAAAAAAGGGAAAAAAGGAAAGAAAAAAAAATGAAAAAAATTGCGTGAAAAAAAAAAGAGAGAAAAAGGAAAGGAAAAAAAAGAGAGAAGAAAAAAAAAGGAAAGGAACGAAAAGAGAAGAAAAAAATTTTGAGTGAAAAAAAAAAGAGAAAAAGGGAAGGAAAAAAAAAAAGGAGAAGAAAAAAAAGAGAGAAGAAAAAAAAATTATGTGAAAAAAAAGAGGAAAAAAATTGCGTGAAAAAAAAACAAAAAGAGAGAAAAATTGCGTGAAAAAAAAAAAGAAAAAAAGAGAAAAAGGAAAGGGAAAAAAAAAGGCGTGAAAAAGGAAAAAAAAAAGAAAAAAGAAAAAGAGAGAGAAATATCCTACCGATTATTCAAGCAGAGACTGCAATCTAACAAGTCTGACTTTAGAATTGATGGCAAAACTTATAACATTGGTGGTATATATAGGCAATAAAATATCTCCTTGAATTATATAATTCAGTTCAAATAAGAAACTAAAATTCCAATCCAAAGTTGGACTGAAAAACAAAAGAGGAAATCTTACAATCCAAAGTTGGATAGGAAAAAAAGAAGAAGAAGAAGAAGTTGAATGCTTCAAGTTCTATTTGAAAAAGAAAACAAGTCCTGTTAAACTTGGGACTCAAAGTGGGAGCAATTTGTAGACCCTAAAATTTTAGTGGGCTTTGATTTTGACAAATAGACTCATTAAATATGGGTCTATATTTAGAATAATTATTTTTAAGGGTAATTATCATAATATAACCGGCTCGGCCCAGCCCGGTCTACTTAAATTATTTAATTAGTCCAGCCCGGATGGTTAAATAAACAAATAATTATTTCTAATAAAATATATTTAGAATAATTATTTTTAAGGGTAATTATCATAATATAACCGGCTCGGCCCAGTCCAGTTATTATTGACTTTTTAAAAATATCTAACTATGTTAAATTACAAATTTACCCACATCAAAAAACTTTTTTTTTCACTTTTTCCTCTATTTCTTCTCTCTCCCATATATAACACACACACATATATATACACACATCTACAGATTATATATGATTCAACTCTTTTCTTTACTTTTGAGTGTTGAATCAAAAATTTTTTTTTTTTGGTCAATTCCAATTAAAATTGTTTATGATCCTTCAACTTCTATTTATATCCGATTTAGGAAATTCAATTATAGTTCTCCAATAATATATATGTAAGAGTTTGAATAGTTTTGTTGATTGCCATCACCAAACATTGGAATTATTAATTGATTCGAAGGCTTCAAGTTTGAACAATTTTGTTAATTGAAGGTTTGAAGAATTTGTTCTTCATTTGTCAACAGATTCTTGTGAACCCAATTTGATGAGACACACAACTCTCTAGAACGATATATAAATAAAGAAAGAAATAGGAGGTTTGAGAGAGAGAGTTGTCAATGACGGATCAAGAAAAGGAGCAAAGTGGGTCTGTTCTAGCCATGTTTGTGTGTATAAATATTATATATAGGATATGTCTTATATATAGGAGAGAGAAGGAACAGGAGAGAAAGAGAAAAAAAGTTTTTTTTTTAATGTGGGTAAACATGTAATTTAATATAGTTAGATATTTTAAGAAGGTGCAGTAACTTTTAATATATTTAGTGAGTCAAAAAAGTTATTGATGTGACGTCTTAATACCTGTAAATATTTATTTGAGAGGGTCCGTTCCCAAAAGAAAAAGATCAATAACTAAATTGAAACGGAGGAGGGACTAATTAGACACGAGTTTGATTTGGATCTTATTTGATTTACCCAAATAACTTATTAAATCTTTTATTAAATATTTTTTTTTTTAGAAGACTTGTCATTTTGTTGTTCATAGATGGTAAGCAACTAAGCATGAACTTCCAGCTGGCAAATATTGTCCCTTAAATAAACTCGCGTATGGACTAGGATTTCTAATTTTTCTCTCATCGAGGTCGTGAAAACCTAATCTGTGGCTATTCAGAGAAAACAGGGTCACGATCTGGATTTTGAAAGGCTTCAACTATATAAAGGTGCACAAATCTCTCCTCTTACATTATTGCTTCTTTTATTATATAGTCTCTCCTCCTCAAGCCCTAATCCTCTTATTATATGGAAGCTTGATATCGCGAAGTAGATGTTTATTAAGGAAATCCATTCTCTCCTCCTCAAGCCCTAATCCTTTTCTTATACAGTCTCTCCTCCTCAAGCCGTAAGATTTGCAGAATTTCCTAGAAATATTCTCTAAACCCTAAAATTTTCTGGTCAAACAAACAACAAATCCAAAATATAATCTGGGAAATCGTGGGGAAATATGGAGATTTCTCGCGCCTGCCGGAGCTGTAGAGAGAGGACTCTCGAATCCGACTATGTTACGGGCAATACGGTCTGCTCCTCGTGCGGTGTCGTCCAAGACTATGACAATTTCCAAGCCGATTTTGGCGGTTTCAACGGCCCGGCTGGTACATTTGTCCGAGTCGGCACCGCAGGGACTGGCAGTGTATGCAATTACAAGGAGAAGAAAGTATACGAAGCCAAAAGGCTTATAGATGAGTTGATGTCTGAATTAGGGGTTTCAGCTTCGGATGAGGTTAGAAAAATGGTTGAAACTATTACTGAAGGTGAATACGGGGAGGGCCATTGGTTCCCTATATTTGTTGGTGCCTGTGCTTATGTTGTTATGCGGAGAGATAATAAATCGTTGCCAATTGTTGAGGTGGCGGCCGTGATTCGGTGTGATGTTCATGAGCTTGGTCGAATGGTTGCTCGGGTTGTTAGTAATCTTGGAATGAAGTTGCCGGAGTTTGATATTGTGATTGCATTTAAACGGGCGATTCTTAATAGCCATAGGTTTAATGTTCTTTCGGAGGATAAGGTGGAGAGAGTGTTAAAACAGGGGATATTTTTGTTGCAGTGTTCGGTGAAATGGTTCTTGACAACAGGGCGGAGACCACTTCCAATGGTTGCAGCAGTGGTGGTATTTGTTGCAAAATTGAATCAGGTTGATGCTCGAATTGAGGATGTGGCGAAGGAATTACATGTGGCACTTGCCACTACTCGGTTGCGGTATAAAGAGCTTTTAGAGAGTCTTGTGAAAGTTGCACAAGCATTGCCTTGGGGAAAGGATATTACAGTTAAGAACATTGTAAAAAATGCGCCACATGTGATTCAGTATATGGAGTTGAAGTCGATGGGTAAGCGTGACAAGACGAATAAGAGTTTAGAGCATGTTGGATTTGATTTAGATGACATGGTTAGTGACATTACCAGCAAAGAAATTGAATACGGGACCGACGACTATTGCATACAAAGTGATTGTCAGTATTTTGAGGCAGGGCGTTCCTCGAGTTGGAATATTGATGAATTGGACAAGTTCAAAATTTCACCTGAATGCTTGTCCATGATTTATTCAAAGTTCTTGGATGAGGTTCCTCATGTCAACTCTGTTGGAGAGAGTGGAGAGGAGAATATAAGGAAGGGAGGGAGAAAGTATGTCCATGCATGTACAGAGTGGTGGAAAGGACAATCAGAATTAAGCAAAAAGCTTTTCCTAAAGCAAATATTGGGGAAAGATGTAGGATTGAATGCAATGCCTCCATCTTATGTCACTGGATGCTTAGCATATCAAAGGAGGAGTGAAAAGATAAAGGCTGCTAAGCTGCGAATTGATAAAGTTATGCGCCCAGCAGGTCCTGATTCAGGTGACAGGGATGATTCATTTTTAACAAAATGTGTAAAGACTGGGAAGAAAAGGAGGAAAATGCAAGTTGATATTGATTGGGAAGATTTTGTTATTGAAACCCTTCTCCTTCATCAGGTGGAGGAGGGGGAAATAGAGAAGGGGCACTACAATACTTTACTGGACTTGCATGTTTTTAACTCCGGAATTTTGTAATAAGCTTCAGCATGAAAGGAGTAATGATTAGAATCTATTCAACTGCACCAACCACTGCACTATTGGAGAGAGTTTGCAGCCTTTTTTTGTTTAAATTCTTTCAACAGAAGGAAATCCTATTTTACTATTATTTTGTAAATTGATACAAGATCACATTTTTGTTGCAAAAGTTTGTTACCTACACAATTACATAATATAAAATCTCGTTTGTTCAATGTATGTTTCTTATTCTTTTGACTGTAAGGGTTACACTTTCTGTATGCTTCTTCCTTATTTATTGTAGTCTGACTTTTTATTGTTCTGTTCTTTTCCTATTCTCTTTGTATTATTCGCAGTTTTCTTTTCCTTTTCGTTCTTCAATATGTACTGTCAAGTGATGGCTTACTTTCTGCCAGTCATCTGATTCAAACGGCAACTTTTGGCTTCTAACAGTGCTGAGAGTTCATGGAGCTAATTGAGTCAGTTCATCATATTTTCCATTTCGTAAGAGAAAAATTTACTGCCTTTAAGAAAAATTATGCAATTTCTGCGATATCTTCGTGAATCTCTTGGTAGAAAGCACTTTTGATTTAATCTTGACTGAACTTCCTATTCCATATAAAATACAGTGTTTCTTATTGGAAGCCTTTTTCTAATAAGCTTCCATCAAGATTAGGATTAGTGGTATCCAATTGTGGCCTAGATGTTAATACTCCCTTTTTGTGGTGAAGCTGGGGAGACCTACACTTCTGTTAGAATGCAATATCTTTGGGTGGTTTGGTTTTGCAATCCTCTATGGTTTCTTCCAGATGTGAGCATGCTAGCTTCTTTTGGTGTATTTCCTTGAAATTTATATTTTCATTTTCTTTCTTTCGAAGTGGCCAGTAATTTTTTTTTTTTTTGTTCTAAATTTGCATTTGGCTTCCATAAAAGGATTGTTTCTGCATCATCTCCAAACAATGAAATCAAAGTTTGCGATCTCCTTACACTGGTTTCTATTTTCTGAAGGTTTGGAAGTTCCTGAGAGATGTAGCTTGGATTGTGGTGTAGTTTCCTCTATGGATTTTACTGCTGATGAACCTTTATATCCCCTGGTGTTATGTTTAATTTGCGTTTAATTTGCTACTATGAGCATATTCACTATGTTTCTTTACATTTACTGCTGATGAACCTTTATATCCCCTGGTGTTATGTTTAATTTGCTACTATGAGCATATTCACTATGTTTCTTTACATTTCCTTGTAGAATTTTTGTTGCTCTTGCATCTGTTTGTGGAAGTAATGCCACTGTCATTACATCTGTCATTTTGGAAACTGGCTTGTGAGATATACATTTTGATAATTCTCTGTTTGTTAAAATTCCCTGAAGTTTGCTCAGCTTTGTTCATGATCATTATCTTTGCTCCAAGATATGTTCAAATGATAAACTGCTTTCTTTTCTGAAGTTGAACACTTAGTTATGCTATAATTTTGCTATTATTTTGAAGTTGTGTTCCTCTTAACAAGAAGGAAAGAGGAAAATGTTGAACACTCAGTTAAATTTTATTCTATGTTTAAAAATTCATAATTCTAACTGGTTATCTTGCTTTAAAGCCAATTTTATGGTGTACAGGGCATATACTTGTTTCAGATTCCTTGCATTTCACTATGTTTATTATCATTTTGGCCTTTTCTTTTTCCCGTAAATAATTGCTGGGGAGTTTCTGGTTTGAATTTCAAGGGAGATGTATGTAATAATTTAGCGCATGCATTGCTCCAAAATTTGAACTGCTTTAGACACTTAATATAGGGTTATCGAAGCCCCTGATATCATGCATCCTTACATCATAATACTGAAGTATTTTATTTCCTAACATACTCTTAAGAAAAACACCAAAACAAGCCCTTTGTGGGAGAACAAGCGAATATAGATGACAAAATATATAAAAAAAGTATCATAATAATATAATTATATAGAACTTTTCCAGCGCCTGGTGGAACATGGAGTCGGTGCTGCTTGTATTACTGGCCAGCAGCAAATGCCTCAACTGGGAAAGTTTTGGTGATGCCAGCAAGACTCTTGAAGTGGATCTTTCCGGTGGGTGGATCATCCTCGACTATCTCACTGACTGGAGGCCATAGCATGAGTTCCTTAGCCTTCACTCCCTTGAGCTTCTTGATCCGTTTCTTCTCAACATAACCAGTAATTTCAGTGTCATAGCTCACAAGCTTGCTAATCACCTTGAACTTGTGTTCAACCTTCTTCTGTTGCAGGATCCACATGTAGCCTGTGTTCTTCACGAAACCTACTTCAATCACATCGGCAAGGGGGAGAAGTCCTAATGGGAGTCCAAACTCTTCAAGAAGAGAGACCGCCATTTTCAGCCCCTCGTCGTGGCCCTTCTTGACGATTCCTCCTTCTTTCGGATCTGCCATGGTAGATATTTCTCTCTTTTCGGAGTTAACTATGACAGTATGAGTGACTTAATGAGGCAAGCAGAGCTTCAATTTATAGCAGAGTGCCTACATGCATGAGACAAACATATTGGAGAAACCAAGGTGAGCAGCGTTGTATTAACCACCAAAATTGTAATTGCTAGATTTCGTTTGGTCAATTATCTTTGTCTAATGGTTCATGTTAAAGATCTAACAACCCTTTATCCCGATAAATGCCGCATCTTTCCAAGTACAAAATGACAAGTTTATTGGATGCACTGAGTCATGGTTTATTGGACTCTACTTTACTGTTATGATTTTTTAGTTTACATGTTATGGGTTGTAAAGTTTTCACATCTCATTTTTGCTTCTTCCACCATAGGACATTTGAGGTTTTAATGGATGCATGTTATTTTGGAATTCCTTAGACGTCTTGGTCGGTTGGTAACTTGAATTCACTTTGGAGTTGGAGACATTGGTTCACAAGTTCTTTGCGACACAAACATGTATGTCTTGTTATTTTAATACACATCTAGACTATGATATGGTTTCTGACCTCGACAAAAATTATTATTTTTTGTTTTTTCACAGACAAAAATAACAGTTCAATTCTCCTAGGATTTGAACAGACATTTTTTTGCTCTTGGATTTTGAGAAATGTTGTACGTTTTCTTCTTTCAACAACCTATGCTTTACCCGTTCTCTAGCATAATCATTTGTAGAAGATTGTTCGATATGTCTATGACTTGTAATATGGTAGACTTTATGTATTCGGCTGTCATAATTATTACGCTGAGTTTAGTGCCTTTTTTATATTTTCTTGACAAGAAACTTATGCACCTATTTTGTCTTTACAAAGTTTTGAGAAGTAGAGGACATATCACTAAATTACATCAGCCTTGAGTTGAGTTTAATTTCTTTTGAGTTGGCAATTTTTGTGAGTAAAAAATAAGTACCGTAATCACCGATCTTTGTTTTATCAAGTTTTAGTTGGATCAACTTGGTTCATTGGTTGTTAATTGAAGATTAAAAATTGTACATGTACCGAACGGCCAGTGATCAATTTTGTACGAACCAATTAGTTTAATCCAGTTAAATACCCTAATTTGGCAATCTTTGACCTTACCCATCTAACATAGAGCTTTTTCATAAAACAGGTATATATTCTACTACAATTCATGCCTGATGATTTTACTGTACATTTCTCGAGTAACTCATCTTTTACAGGGTGTAGTTATGTCATGGAACTATTCCTAGGATTAATTTTGTATAGAGTAAGGGCACGATAAGCACGAACATGTACTATGACAGGAAAGCTTCTCAATCTAATGGCTGAAGGAACACGCTGAAATTGAGAGTTCTATAGTTTTCTTCATTTGTATAAACCTAAAGAATTTATCAAGTTCTTAGGCTGCTTATGAACCACGGCTATGGGTATGGCTTCTCTTTGTTCCTTTGAATTCTGTTAGCAACTAACATGAAGGAGACAAATTATCATGACTGTTTTGATTGATATAATATAGATGATCAAAGCAACAAAAATCAACTTTTTTTTTGGGTAAGTTTGTTTTTGTCATTTAATACACAATTTAATAAAAAATAAGATTGGTTGAAACAACTATAAGTTTGCAACAAATGAAAGAGTCATTATTTTTGTTTTTATCATTTTATACACAATTCTATAAAAAAAACCATACATGGTTGGTTGGTCATTATTCTAGCCATGAAAACATCTCTAATCAAGCACTAAAAACTGTATTTCGTATGAAGGAAAGAATAGTTGCGGAGAGAAAATAGAAATGAAGAAATGAATTTTCTTTGTTATGTAGAGATGATACAAGGAAAGAAATATATTCTTTATAAATTTTCGCAGGCAAAATAAGTGAAGGAAGGCAAGTGGACTATAAGTCTATAATAGAAATTTTAAATTAAATACTATCTTAAATTATACATGTTTCAAAGAAAGATATTCTTTATAAATTTTCGCAGGCAAAATAAGTGAAGGAAGGCAAGTGGACTATAAGTCTATAATAGAAATTTTAAATTAAATACTATCTTAAATTATACATGTTTCAAATTATAGTATTATCCTCTATAATTACAATATTATAAATATTAGGCTAAAGTACACTAACACATGAGATTTGGCATAAGGACAATTAGATGAAAGTTACTTATTTTTTGAACAATGACACCCCTTAAAAATTAAAAAGTGGACAAAGACACCCCTTGAAGCCAACCGACATGGAAAATTGACCAAATTGCCCTTTGACTATTTAGTTGACCTTTTTACCTTTACAAGTTAATAAATTGGACAAAACTACCCATAAAACATATATATATATATATATATATATATATATATATATATATATATATATCCATAAAACAGATTAATAAATTGAAAAACAGGTTAATAAATTGAAGAATAAAATTTATGCGTACTAACATTGACCCCCTGAAACAGATGAAGAGTATATATATATATATACACACACATACTGAAACAGATTAATAAATTAGAGAATAATACATTGCACCAAAAATTACATAACTTGTCATTACAGTCCTATTACATAACCAACATTTAACTTCATAAAAGTAGCCATCAACATCCCACAATCCATAATAAACTTGTACTAAGTCATTACATAACCAACATTTGACACCAAAATTTACATAATCTGTCGGATTTCTTAAAAAAAAAAAAAACCATATTTAGAAAATAGGAACAAAGATTTCGTTAAAAAAAAAAATTCCCATATTTAGAAAACATGAACAAAGGTTTCGTTACAAAAAAAATCCCATATTTAGAAACAGAACAAAGATTTCGTTACACAAAAAAACCCATATTTAGAAAACCCCATTTTAGTAAAGAAAATAAAGAAAACCAAAACCACATAAAGAAAAGATCATATTTTCTTTACAATATTTTCTTGTAAAGGAAACACCATTTGAAAAGGAAACACCATTTTTGTAAAAAAATCAGGAACAAAATTTTTGTAAAAAAAAAACCCATATATTTTTTTTTTTTTGTAAATTAAGAAAAAGATTTCAAGAAAGATCAAGGTTCAATGGAAGATTTTCTCATCAAACCTACAAATAAAATCAAAAACAGAATAAAGATATATAGATAAATATACACATGAATAGATTAATATAATATAGGAAAAAAAGAATAGATTAATATATATATATATATAGAGAAAAATGTGTTGAAAGAGAACCCCTGATGTGTGGAGACCAAAGCAGAACAAAGATATATAATGGTTGGTCTTGACGAGATCGCGAAATCAGCCTCCAGAACTAGGGTTTTAAAATGATAATGGTGACTAGGGTTTCAGGCAGAGATGGTGATACGAATAGAAGAGAATAAATGAAAGATTAGCGCAGGGACAGAGAAAGAGAGACAGAGGGTATTTGGTGTGTGGTTCAATGGTTGGAAAATTAGATTACGGGTTGTTAATCTGGCGCCACTTGGCGCTAATTTGTGGTGCTAAATTTTGAGGGGAAATTGTGTCATTTTGACATGTAATGATATTTTGTAATAAATTTGAATTTAATATTAAGGGGCAATTTTGTCTTTTTATATGATTTAAGGTCTTGTTTGGATGAAATTTTTTCAAGGGGGTGTCATTATCCCAAAAATAACTAACTTTCACCTGAGTGTCTTTATACCAAACCTCAAGGGGTATTAGTGTACTTTATCCTCAATATTATTGAATATAATGATAAAAACAATTAAAACTTTTTATTTTCTCTCTCCTAAGGAACATAGTAAATTATGAGTATATTCTTAATTAAAACTTTTTATTTTCTCTTTCCTAAAGAACATAATAAATTATGAGTATATTCTTTCTCTTCTATCAAACCGAATAAAAAAAGGGAAACACACAATCTTTTTTCTAGGATGTCTCATCCATCCATTCCATTCAATTTTTTTTCTTTCCTACCAAACAAAGCAAAAAGGGTCATTCAGTTTCTGTTTTTAGATACAAAAAAATTGTTTGGTTGATAGTTTTTGAAAATTATTTTTTGAAAAAGAGGTAGTTTTCCAAACACCGTCTTAAACAAGTTTGTCACACAGAAAATTTTCAAAAACATAGAAAATAAAAAACTGTTTTCATACAATTATAAGAGATAGTTTCTTGAAAACCGGCATTTTTATAACTTAGTTTAAGAAAACAGTTTTCAAAAAATTGAACTAACCATAGATTTTCAATTTTGAGTGACAAACTAATCTCGCTCCTTATTTTTTGAATTTTTTTAAAACTGTTTAAAGAAAATTGGAATCATTCAAAAAATTAAAAGGTTTTATCATTGAAATATATATAAAGTTTAAGTTTAATATATATATATATATATGTCAATTTCCTCTTGCAAAAGAATGTGATCACTACTGGTTATTTGTGATAGGCATGACACCATCTAAATGCAGTGGTACAACTACATTTCATCTGCCAACATCGGATATATATCATTTTACTATCAAACTATTCCATCAGTCAAACAGATTCCAAAAGGCTCACCATTTTTTTTTTTTTTTTTTTTCTGGGATTCCCTTTTCCCACTATATATCCTATCCAATTTTCTTTCTGCGATATCGCACATTTATGCTTTTCCTACTACAACTTGCATATAAAACAATGCGTTTACCTAGCGGATGTAACCATCGCGCGCGCGAAATATTCAACACTAGCTCCACTTGTTTTCAATACTATATGGCGCTTATGTGGATGTTTTGTCGTACTTTTGATCATGTTACTAATGTAATCATCCAATGTGATTAATAAAACGTGTGCGCCAAAGTTTTTCTCATCTTGTTGTATTAAAAAATTAATAAGAAAATAATAAAAGATTAATCGGTTTGATCTAATTGTTCTATTTTGATTTGCAGGTCGCGAGTTTGAAACTGCGGAGAATCTCCTTAACAGAAGATGAAACGGTTTCTAAAAAGGATTAGAATCTTTTGAGGCTTACGCTCCATCTGTTTGGATGTAAAATATTTTTAAGAAATTTTTATTTTTATTTTTTTCCTGGTGTTTTGGTTGACGTAAAATATTAAAATTTAATAAAAACAATTTACTCATCAATTTTAAGCAAGTCATTTTACACGCTCTGCTCGATGAATTCGATCTTAACCTCGACCTAAACCTTTGCCAAACACTGTAAAAATAAAAATTATATAATATTTTATCCAAAAATAAATAAATAAAATTATTTTACGTCAAAACAAAAGGAGTCTTAGGGCTTGTTTGGTATGCTCTTTGTTTTAGGCATTTTATTTTTGGCTAAAACAGAAACATTGTTTTTGCTGTTAGAGTGTTTTGGGAAAAAATTGGAAGCACATTTGGGAACGATCTTTTGTTGTGAAATGTTCGGGCCCGTGTTGCGCTACTGTAATGGTTTTGGCCTATGAATAATTGTCAAAATAAGAAAAAATAACTTTTTGGTATTTTAGTTTGTTCACGAAGTGCTTTATCATTGTGTAAAATAAAATAAGATCACACCAAATATACTTTTGTTATTAAAATCGACACTATAGCAGTCCAAAAACAAAAATAACAGAAATAAAACGCATGCCAAGCGAGAAACTAGCGAAATTTTTTAAAGTTATCATAAACGAAACTTCTCCTCTTCATATACATTTACTCAAATTTGTAGCATGCATATGTCCTGTACTTCACATCATTCAATGTATCTATGTTTATTTTTGTTTCTACATCAACTCACTTACAATCCTTATATGCTAAGTAAACTTGTAAAAACTAGGATTAGATTTTTTAATTTTGTTTTTAAACTTTGTTGAGGAAAAATAATTTTTATACTACATAGCCAAGGCCTAAAAGTGTTTTTTGACCTTTTTTTTAGGTTTTTGTAATGTCAAATCAGAAAATTAGATTATGGAGAAAATTTTAAAAGTATTTTAAAAAATAGAACCAAATAGCTTAATTGTTGGTGTTGGCAATGAACACTTTATTTATTTTAGTTCATTAACAAGAAAGCTATGTATCTATACAAAAATTTAAACTTTCACTATTTTTTTTTAGAAGGAAAAAAGATACGATTAGATTACAACCGTCCGCATTGGTAATGAACCAAAACATTATCTTATGATGTCATTGTCGCGAGTAATTACCTAACATCCAACCCCATTGCAACATATTTTCCAGTCTTTAAATTACAATAGTGTAATAGGTATTATAAAATCATAACGAGTGTCAACGAGCTGGTTAAATGATCTTCCCAGCATTTCGGTCACCTTGATTGCATGGGATGGAGTGTTCAACCACGAACGTGGCAGATGTTTATTGGTTGACATTCACACGTGGCAGTGTGCCAGTGGACCATGAACACATTATATCTTAACTATAAAGTTACGTAGCTATATATATATATATATATATATATATATGTAGTAAAATTATTCAATTAGAAGTAGCTTTCTAAGTGCTTTCCGAGTAGGTCCACACACGTTTTGTTGCCGAAAAGCAAAGCAAAAGAAAAGGGAAAGAAGTTGCATATAGAGTTAGTGGGTCGGACCATTTCAATGTCATAATATTATTCTTTCTTATCATTTATACTCTCTCTCTCTTATGTAACTAACTTGCTCTCCAATTAAAATAGATAGGAAGATATATATATATATATATATATATAGATGCCTCTCTAAGTATCTATATATACACACACAAACGCATTATTCAGACCATCTTCACTCCCATATTCAGCCTCAGATATCTCACCACGTACAGAAATCTCATTATATATCTTAAACATGACGGTAAGCTAATTTCTCTGGCTCTCTCTTTATCAATCTATATATATATATATATATATGCATTTCTATATATCCATGACGTCCTTGCTTGTTTATTATGCTGCATCCATCATAAATGCTACAAGGGATTAATTTTCTTTGCCAAAAATGGTGTCTATCTAATTTAAAAGTAAACTAGAATGGCCTCTCACCAAGCTGTTTTTTACAGCGGCCATATCTGCTATCAAGTGTAGAGTGCATTCTATTAATATTAGCCCTCCCTTTTCCTCCCTAGCTCAGTGGCAACTCCCATTTGACTCATGCATTTATACAGTTGTGTATGTGTGTATGTCTGTGTGTGTGTGTGTGTTTTTATTTTTATTTTTAATTTTTAATTTTTATAATTTTTTATGCCCTTTTTTTAGTTGCCATTTGTTTGGTTTTTCTTTCAATAAAATCTTAATTACCCAAAAATAAAAATAAATATTTAAAATGGCCTCCCTTGATTACACTATTTTATTTTTTATTTATGACAAAAAAATTCACGCATCTACTTTATGAACTTAAACCCTCTACCTTACTACTACTTTACCTTATAACCGGTGAAAATGAATCTTTTTTACTCACCACCATAATGATAGAATAATATATGTCTATTTTAAATTTAAAATATGTACGTAAAGAAAGAAATTAAAAAAATAACTTTTTTTCTTTTTTATATTTAAATTTTAAAATAAACATGTGTCATCTTATCATTATATTGTATCGAAATAGATTACTCACTAAATAATGGAAGAACCAACCATTGTCCAATTTAGAATTTTCTATTATACCTCTGCATTAATTAAAGCACACTTTTATATTATTGTCTCAACCAATATATCCTGTATGATGTCTAAGTTGATACAAGTGTGTATTTTTAAGTAAGTATTTGCATACGTACATTTTACAAATTATCCACTACCAAATTTTAATATCTCACCTCTTTTCTAGGAATGAGAAATTATAACGCTGAGATATTGGCCTATATACGGTGAGGAATATTTAGATGATCTTTGAATATAAAATAAATAAAAATGTAGAGAAGACCATCAATCCTCCCTTAAAAACTTGATTTAGGCCCTTGTTAAGCAACTCAAATTGACCATTTTTTTAACCTAGGATAAATGGATCTGATCATCACACATCTCATCATAGCCAACAATTGCACAACTTAAAGTTCACAATGATTACGAATGGTGGTTCCATATATATATATATATATATATATATATATATATATCATATCACCACAATTATTGTAATAATAATGAAGGCCTGGTCATACATGAATTTTTAAAGTCATTATTTCTTTCCTTTCAGATTGTGGAGATGAGAGTTCACATGGACTGTCCTGGATGTGAGAGCAAGATAAAGAAAGCTCTTCAGAAACTAGATGGTATATATCCACCAATCTCTTTTATGTTTTCTTAATATTCTTTGCAATTTATTTTCATTAAAGTTGCATCTATGTCGATATTTAATTGTCATGTGACAACAAACTGATCTTTTAGGTAATTAATTAATTAATCAAATGAATTATATTAAAAAAGGGAAGCTGATCTAAATATTTATTGTTTTAGATTTATTGGGTCACATCACCAGGTTGGATAAAGTTCAACTTGACTTGATTGGACCTAAGTATTGTTCTTTATAGAAGAATATTTTTTCCTCCTAACAAGTCCCTTGATAAGCTTTCCATTGCAATATCCACGTGAATTTTAATTAAACACAGTTTCTATTATTTTGACTTCTAATTTTTTCAAATAGTAAGTATTACTGAACATGATTTCACTTTCTGGTTCAACTCTAAAAAAGATCAAAATCACGATTTTGCTTTCCAATGACAACAAAAGCAAGAATCACTTCCTGTTAGTGAACCGACCCTAAAACTGTATATGTACTTTGGCTATTTATACGATATTGGTATTTACATACACAGGAGTGGATGAAGTTGATATTGACATGGGGATGCAAAAGGTGACAGTGACAGGGTGGGCAGAGCAGAAAAAGGTTCTGAAAACAGTGAGGAAGGCGGGAAGGAAGGCTGAGCTTTGGCCATTCCCATACAACCCAGAATACCATAACTTCACACACTATTACTACCATGATCAGCCGCAGCACCACCACCATGTTGTTGATGATGATTATTATCAGGGCCGTCCAATTACCTCCTACTACACATCTCAGAGCCGTCCAATTACCTCCTACTACACATCTCAGCCTTCCTCTTCATACAACTATCGCGTCCACGGCTACAACGGCCATGATCATGGTTACTATCCGCAATCACCACATTCAACCGTCTTCGACGAACGGACCGGTGCCATGTTCAGCGACGAAAATCCTCATGCTTGTTCAATAATGTGATGATGATTGAGTTTGGTAAAAATATTTGTGTGCATTTTATAATATATATATAGTTATGAAGCTAGGGTGCTTTTATGGTATGGTGTGAATTTCCCTAGTCATTCATCTCTACAGTAAATGTTTTGAGTGCTGGAATAAGGATTAATGTATATAAGCTCAATGTGGGATTGCAACTATCATTGGTTGTATGGCATATATGCCCTTGTCCTTTGTGAGAAATTGCTTCCTTTGTGAAAATGTGCAATCTCTTATGGTGTGCAACTCGTTGACCACCAAGGAACTTGTTAAGCAAAGATGTCTCATCAAAAAGAGTAAAATGAGCCCGTGAATGGTATGTGTAAATTTCTTTTCAATGACTTAAAAAAAAAAAAAAATACACGACTCCTTAACCAAAGTTTATAAAATAATAATTTTGTCAATCTATTGAATAAAATGTAATATAATATATTATTATAATATAAGGGCATTGTTGATTTTTCATATTCAAAATTATTTTTGGACAAACCACGGACAAGAACGTTGAAAAGTTAAAATAATAAACGTTATATGGTCAAACTTTATGAGAGGTAAAAATTACCCTTTTAATTTTTTTTTCTCACTTAAATGGCTAAATCAAATATATTTTTAAATTTTTTTAGAATCTCTCTTTTAGAACGACGGCCTTCTCTCCCTCCCCCCTCTCTCTGAAATCTTAGTATATTGACATCAATCAAACACTCCATTTTTATTATGCAAAACAATATACAAACCAATAGAAGCTCATAAGTGACATAAAACTGCACCAATCGGAATTTGCAGTATTCACATTTTCCACCAATGAGAGAAAGGAAAAAAAAAACCAACAACCCTATCAATTGAAGGTGTTGAGAACATGGGAGGGATGCAAAAGATAAATCTGACCAAAAATAGATTTACGAGAAAAGCTAATTCTTACAAAGAAATAGTAAATATACAAGAAAAACTCTATTCAAATATAAGTTTTCCTATTTAACACTTGATATAATATATTCTTTAAATAAATTTAGTAAATTTTCAATTTGGGTTTAGAAACAATTGTATTCTTTGGGAAAAGAAAAAAAAATCTTTGGGATTTGATTTAACCAATAAGAAAATGGATATATATATATATATATATATATATATATATATATAAAACACAAGTAACGAATTTTTTTTTTTTTTTTTGCCCCCGGGGGCATAGCTGTGATGGTTGGAGCTCGGCGCAAGGTTTGAAATGGCCAGTGTTCGACTCTTCCCAAGCCATCTATTCTTCTCGATTTACTGCTGCACGTGTTGAGGGGCCGGTGCGCGTAGCACAGGTTTGTAACTTGGGGTGGGTCCTAAAGGGCCCTGCTCCGGGGAGTTCCTGTTTCTTAAAAAAAAAAAAAAAAAAAAATTTTAAGTTTTTTGTTTTTGTTAGGATGAATAGATGATCCAAGTATTGAAGAACAATATCACATCTTGTGTTGGGCTGGGCCAAGTTTGTTGTTATGGATTAGGCCTTCTTTGGCCTTCTTCTTTTATTTTTTATTTTTTATTTTTATACATTTACAGAATATATATATATATATATATAAATCACTAAAATTCATTAAAACCCAATATTTATTCTATTTTGTATTGCAATTTTTTTTTTTTTTGAACCCTTATATGCAATGTGAAAAAGTTCACCGTCATGTGATTCTCAATACTGAATCTATTACACTGTCTTAATAGAGTTATACGTGAATAAACATTTTAATTGATATGAAAAACATCAAGAGAAGATGCAATGAATCAATGACACAAGTCTGAGTCACGGGCAGCAGTTTCACATGGCATTCCTTGGGTATTATTTTAATTTGTAACACACATATAATCTTTTTAGACAAGGCTTGTTCATGTAATCTATTGATGTGGTCCAATAAATTTAAAATAGATGTCTAAAAGTAAAAATTGCGTTTAAATTGGGTATTGCACAATTATTCGGATTTAACCTATTGCTGTGAGAATATTTTTATTTTTATTTTTATTTTTTATTTTTTATTTTTATCATTTTTCTCTCCAAGAAAGACCATCAACGCCAGCTCTGTTCAAAGCTGTCGCGCCATTACTGACTATCTTTGCTCACCACATCATCGCTGGTTCATGCCATCGTCCGTTAGTCAGTCTTCTGTAACAAAATTTTAGTTCAAAAGACAGAGACATGTTAAATAATTCAGATTGCATTGAATTTTGGGCTAGGGTTCTGTTGAGAGAGAAGCATAGGTTGTGATGGTGTCATGGAAAAATAGAGAGGCGGGGTCCAAAGGCGGATCCAGGAATTGTTAATGGAGTGGATAAATATTTTTTTTGGTGGGCTAATACTACGGAATGGTAATTTTTCTTTGGGGAAAAATCAGATAACCCCCCTCTACTATTTTTTTCGATCAAATTGCCCCCACTAAAATTAAATACCCTCCTCAACTATAAACTATCATCACATTGCCTCATTTCAGTTTAAACCCGTTAACCTGTCGTGAAATGACAACTATACCCCCCATAATATTATATGAAATTTAAATACAAAAGAAATGTATTATTTGGAGGTAACAAAACGCGGTCGTATTACAAATGCCTGTAACTTCAAAATTTTACTAAAATAATTCATGGTACTAGACAATAAACGCGCAAACAATGGAAGAGTTCACAGAAAATGATTTTCCATATATATTAACCTATAAATACAAGATTTAATGTTTCTTCATGATTTTCCTGATTTGAGCTTCTTCATGTTTCCGAAGATGATCGACGGACCACTGGCGTTTACAGTCACGCCGGAGACGGTTAAATCGGTGAGGTTTGGCATCCAACCGAGCAAGACTCCGGTGAGCTTCTTGAGGCTATTGATGCAAGTGAAGTAGTGGAGATTGGAGGTGAGTTTGGAGGGGAAATGAATGAGTGAAATGGGGCAGTTGATGAACGCAAGATTGGTGAGGGTGGAGAGAGATTTGAGGGCGGTGATAGACATTTCGAGATCGTTAGAGCAATTGGAGAGGCGGAGGGATAGGTGGCGGCGGAATGGCTTGGAGGCATCGTAGGCAGTGGCGTTGTGGAAGGAGGGTTGAATACAGGGGTCTTTGGAGATAGGGTGTTTTTTTAGTATTTTTTCTTTAGGTTGTGTTGTGCATTTCAAAAGGCATAGTACCATTGTTTGATATCATCATTCGAAATATTATTTCTCACACTAAATCCTCTCTTTGTGGCTGCAAAGCCTCCCTCCAGATTTCGCCCCTTCCTTCCCTCCTCTCTCTCTCTCTCTCACACACACACACACACACTGTCACATCTCTCCTCATCTCTGGCTTGGTTCTCTCTCTAAATTGCTTTCTTTTGTGCAATCCAAAAGGCATATTGTTTGAAATCCCTTGGAATTAATATTTCTTTCACTAAATCCTCTCTCCTTCTCTTCATCTAAAAATCAAGACCTCTATGAAGAGTATGTGAAGCACAGTCACAGTCCAATAAGCAGCTCTTCTTCATTCGAATCCCAGTACTCTGAAATCGTCAAGAAAAACAATATTCTGCAAAAGGAGCTAATTCCAATTGAAAATTTACAAGAGATCATTGTTATTGTCTATGCAATTTATGAGGTTGCTCTGATTTTGGATTTTTTCATATCAAGTTTATTAGCAATCTACTGCTATATGACACATAAGCTCAAGACTTTCACCATTTCATAAGTCAATTCATTTCCCTAATACCCTTAATACGTCACCTCTGTGCATGGTTGGTTTCCAGATTTTATGGATTTTGCCGGAGCACCCCGCGCCGGTGACCGCTACATGGACTTGTTTGTGTCTTTGAGAAGATATATACAGTACACAACACACTTATATATATAATATAACACAGAAGAGGATAGGGAAGGGGTATTTTAGGGGAATTTTTTTTTTGATAAGCACGTGTTGGTCACGCGCTACTACTCAAATGCCAGATTAACGGGTTTGAATGGAAAGGGGGCAATGTGATGACGGTTTATAGTTGAGGGGGGTGTTTAATTTTAGTGGGGGCAATTTGATGGAAAAAAATAGTAAAAGGGGGTTATCTGATTTTTCCCCTTTTTCTTTTTTCTTTTGGGTTGGGCTAAAATTGCCTATAATAAAATAAATAAATAAATAAATTTGGGGTGGGCTCAAGCCCACCCCTACATCCACCTTTGGTGGGGTTGGTGGCGATTGTGAGGGTGTTGTGCAAAATCCAACGCAATCTGAATTATTAAACTAGCGATGAAGAGGTGAGCAAAGATGGTTGGCAATGACGATGGATGGCCGTGTTGAACAGACAACCAGAACCGGTGTTGATGGTCTTTCTTGAAAACAAAAAAAAAAAAAAAATCTAATCTCACAACAATGAGTTAAATTCGAATCATTGGACAATACCAACTCAAACTTAACTTTTACTATTGGACACCTGTTTTAAATATATTGGGCCACAGAACAGATCGGATAGAAACATTGTCCATGCTTTTAAACATGACTTGGAATGGTAACCGGTACCAAATACTACAAATAAATGGATATGGGCAGGTGGATGAGCTTATTTGGAATGTTTCGCAATATATATTGAATTTATTTATTATTATTTTTTTGTAATTCTAAACGTATAAATAGAGTGCATTTGGATAAAAATCTTAATTTAAGATTAATAGGTATAGAATGAATTAGGCATACCATATTATTAGCATGTCTCATAAATAAAAATCTAACAAATAAATTTATGCATAGCAGTATTAAGTAATTTTTTTAAATGTTGGGATCCATTTCATTTTATAATGAATTTTTATTAACCGGAACATGTCAACTCACCCAATATCTTTTTCTAATTTTGAATCGTTTGAAATTTTGTCTCACCTTCCCTTCTCTAGTCTCTTTCACAATGTCTTTCTCTAAACAAAGTCAAACTAGCCCTACTCTATCTTCACTATAATATTTTTCATCTGTCCCATCTATCCATTTCCTTTTCTCCTTATATTTTCAATCTAATTATTAGTTCATCAATCTTTTATTTGACACTTCCTCTCTTGATTCTGTCCGTTCCAAAATACATGACTGAAAAAGTATTCATTTATTGAAGTCCTTACCTTTTTTTTTTGAAATACCGAAAGTATCACTTTGTCTACTGTTCCATTGGAAAAACAAAAATTTATTTTCACACCATACATATTCAATAAGTTCAAAATCAATAATTTCACTCTCTAAATTTGTTTTAAGTCAATGATGTCAACTCTACTTAGATAGTTAGATATGTCGTGAGAGTTAAATTAAATTAAACATAATTAACAAACTCACAATTTGAATCAGTAAGCTGAATTGGACCGATCGATTTTGTTTTTCGATGCTTCAATTTGATCCCGAATCCACAAAGAACTTATAAGCAAATTCGATTATGGTTTGGACATTGGAGTTTTACATGACCAAATCGAACGGTGTAATCTTAAATTTATCCCTCAATAACCAGCCACAAGACCATTCCGTCCGTTGGATCAAAACGTGTATCATACTAAAACTAGTAGCGCGTGGGGAGTGCATAATACAAAATTTTAGCCGGCGTGTCCTAATCCTCCATAATTGGTTTCTCATTTCTGTTTCTCCTTCAACAAACCTCGACGCCCTCAATAAATACATACTCACACACACTGACACACAACAGAGCATTATATTATATATATCGATATCGACGGAGAGTAAGCTGAAACTAGACCTCTAATTTCTTAGATCGGCCATGGCTTCCACAAACGAACGCAACAACTTCGTCTACATCGCCAAGCTCGCGGAACAAGCCGAACGCTACGAAGGTTCGTCCTCGTCTCTCTCTCTCTCTAAGCTCTCTCTTACTAGATCTAGATTCTTAAGCTCATTGCTTTTCTTCAACGTCACCACTGTGTTTTGTGACTCGATTCATTTCAATGAAACTTCGGTTTTTTGATTTCTTACAGAAATGGTGGATTCGATGAAGAAAATAGCGAAGCTCGACGTGGAACTGACTGTTGAGGAGCGGAATTTGCTGTCTGTTGGGTACAAGAACGTGATTGGAGGTCGGAGGGCTTCGTGGCGAATCTTGTCTTCGATCGAGCAAAAGGAGGAAGCCAAAGGTAATGAACAGAATTCGAAGCGGATCAAAGAGTATAGGCAGAAGGTTGAGTCCGAGTTATCGAGTATTTGTAGCGATATTATGAATGTTATCGATGAACATCTCATTCCGGCCTCTTCGGCTGGTGAATCAACTGTGTTTTTCTATAAAATGTGAGTGATTTTGTTACAATTACCTAATTTTGGTGTTTTGATAATGCTTGCAATTTAGGGTTTTGATTTCGGTTTGGGCGCAGGAAAGGGGATTATTATCGGTATTTGGCAGAGTTCATGAGTGCTGATGAGAAGAAAGAGGCTGCTGATCAGTCACTCAAAGCATATCAGGTCTATGGTTGTTTTGTAATTCTTTTGCAGCTATTTAGAAATACAAATGACAAGCATGTAGTTTATATTGACAGCTTACATAACAATTTAGCATTTCTCTAGTGCATTATGTTAATTGCTGAACTTAGGACATGCTTATTGCGTCTACTTGTTTGACTGTGTGAAGATTTCTATGTAGCCATTGCTTATGAAGTGCTGCTATTTTGTCTTAATTTAGAACTAAACCGAGTTTGTTACTTTTGAAGAAAATTTCTTAATGTGCTATTTTGACTTGTGGGTGGGAGAGCGCCTATATTGATAAACATTAATCCTCTTTCTTTTGGGTTTTTGTTTCACATTAGTTTATTATTAGATTAACAGGATTTGGTTTTGATATACATTCTTTCTCAGTGATGTGCTATGGATATACATTCTTCTTTCTCATTTATTGTTAGATTCAATTAAAATGTTAGTTTATGTGCCAATGAGAAAATATCAACAGGATTTGGTTTTGATGGTTATCTGGTGCTATATCTTGTGATCGTTTGGTAAATATCTCACCATGGATTGTCTTTTATATGATGTAAAATGATACTCGTGTTGTAGAATTTGTCCATTTGAATTGTCAAAACTGCTCATATGTTTATGTGATTATATGCAGACGGCAACTGTGACAGCAGAGTCAGATTTATCTCCTACACATCCCATCCGACTGGGTTTGGCATTGAACTTCTCTGTCTTCTATTATGAAATTATGAACTCTCCTGAAAGGTATACATATTATTATCATCTGCAGTTTTCATAAACTTTCCCTTTTAAAACTCATGTGAGTTCGTTTTACACCGCCCATTTTTACATGGTAATCTGTATCCCAGGGCATGCCACCTTGCAAAGCAAGCGTTTGATGAAGCTATCTCAGAGTTGGATAATTTGAACGAGGACTCTTACAAAGATAGCACATTAATCATGCAGCTCCTGAGGGACAACCTCACTTTGTGGACTTCTGACATCCCTGAGGATGGAGGTATTTCATGGATCTCCAAGAACATAGAATGTAACTTGAGTTTACCTCTCTCTGATGTTATTTCATAACTGCCCTAGTAAGCTATTGCTACCATACTTCTATATTAATTTAGAGGAACCTTGTTTTGATGGAGAAAAGAGAACATTGTGCAAGCTCTTTTGTGCTCAGTTGCAAAAGTTGTTATGTAATTGTCAATGCTTTCAGGACTCCTCTTTTTATAAATCACAAATTTTAAAACCTTCTAATGGCCAAATAGATGGTTGGCATACAAAGCTTTCATATGTAATTATGTATAATAGTAATATTTCTACAAAAGAGTACAAGCTGATCCCATGCAAAGCTTCCATATGTGAATTATTGCCAGCCTTTTGTCTTCTACTATGTTAACTTTATGCCTTCATTCACTATGAAAATGCAAGTGTCCTATATAATTTCAAACTTCATGAATTTGTGACTAAGTCGAGTATGCTTGTAAGCTGACTGAGTAGGATTGGATCGAGCCTGAACATAGGCATCTTAAGAGTCAACTATTAGAGCCAACTTTTGGTAGTTTCAGATTATTTCATCTGTATAACTGTAGCCGCATTGCATATTTCAAGATTGTGTCTCCTTCTGTTTTGGAGCTTTTTATTGCATTGGTTATTCCTCAAATCTTGTCATTACAATTGGATTTCATCTAATCATATTAGTTGTTATTTGTAGTGAAAATTTTGAGGTTGGGATTTACTTATGTTTGGAGTTATCCAATAGCTGATTAAAAAAATGCTGAAATCAATTTAGAGGAAATTGGAGAATTAATTTTGAGGGTGAGAAAGGAAGAACATTATTAAGCATTTTAGGAATAATTTTAGCATTGTTTAAAATATTTATGAGTTTTGTATATGATTTGGGAAGTGCAGATATTTGTTTAGTATTATCTATGCTTACATGCTTGGCAACTTGGCAGATTTATCATAACAACCTGTGTTGTGTTTAACTGTTCTGTGGTATTTTTTTCTCAGCTAATTTCTTTTATCCTTGTCTTTAATTGTTTCCTTCATTTCTCCTGTATTTAATCTCTGTACTCGTTCTTTCTTCAAATTACTTCTTTCACCCATCTAAAACCATTGTGGAGTTTGACTATATACCTTTTAATTGTGCTAACTGGATATGTGTTATTTATTTTTCGTTTCACAACATCAGAGGAAGCCCAGAAGGCAGATGGCACTACTAGACCAGGTGGAAGTGAAGTTGTCGAGGTAGGTTATTTGCTTGTTTGTTGTGTTTCTAGCACCAAAAAATCATAATGGAGTAGAATTAAAAACTGTTATTATAATGTCTTTGGGTAGTTGATTATTGTTCACATGGGTTTTTGTAACAATTTGCAGTAAAGCAGACTTGCTTGATCCTGTTGCATGTAGATGAAGAGGAAGTTGCTGCTTGCCCGGCTCTAGGGTTTTGCTTCCTAATTTTGATGAGAGGAATAATAATTTTATCACATTTTTCTTACTGTGGGTCTTATTGGTGTGAAGATGATTTAATGTTTGGAACATGTCGTTTCCAATTGCATCCTCGAAGCTTCTACCCTTCTGTTGTGTACTAAATTGAGAAAATTGTCAAGTTCACTTTAGGTGGTCCGTCTTCCTTTTTAATGAAATCATGATATTATGTTCTTGTTGGAGTTAAACTTTCTTATTGTCATGTACGTGGCTACATGGGTCTTGTTATTGTCATGTTAAACTGGTTCAAACACTTTTTTAACATAGAAAATAGGTGGCCGTAGGTCATTCTGTTCCAATATGTTTCATGCATTCTTTTAGCGACGAATTTGATATGGTTAATGCAAGGTTTATAGAGGATGCAAGTATGGGTGCACGGCAATGATGTTTGTCTCAGGATTGTACCACATTTAGGTAAAATTAACAGTTAAAAGAGTGAGAACTCACTATTTTTTTTCATCTAGCAAGGTGGTTTGTTAAGGGAAAAGGCAAATTTTAGAAAAAAAGGCAGTGCCAGAACGGTCTGAATGTTTATTGTTCTTGAGCTATGCTTATGATTCTGATCATAAATAGTCAAAATCAGTGTAGGCGCCAAGTTTATATTGGTGCGGTGCAACACTTGCGCTTGTTGCGTGTCCAGATGCACCTTTAGCAACATTTGCACCTTTAATCGTAATTTAATTTTTTAATTGTGTGCCTCGCTTCACTTTACTACGCCTTGGGCCGTTGATAACACTGGCCAAAACAAATATTAATGGCTTCGATTGCTTCTCCTGCCAAATATACCAAAGTGACCTAAGCCCTCAGTTTTAGTATCTTTGCCGCATGCAAAACCAATAAGCTGCACAGTAGCTACTACAGCCCTATGCAGCTATATACCTCCAGAAACTACAAGGAACTACTAGGTGGATTGATCTCTGCTGGTCTTTGTTACAAGAGTTTTTATATTCATAAAATGCAACTTTCCTTAGAATTTGGAATTTTCTGGTTTTCTTGACCTTTTGATCCATAAAATTGAAATCTGACTCGTGAGTGATATGGTTTTACTAATTCAAACCAAAGAGTATCTTTTTCACATCGTATTACTTGCCTGAATTGAAAGCACCATCTACATTTGATGGCCTCATGGCTGCCTAAAATTCTGGGATAATTCCAATTACATCCAAAGGCATTCATCTTTCCTCGGGTGTTTGATTGCATAAAATTAAAATTTATAAAATTTGAAAAAAATAATTAAGAAAATTGAACCAAATTTTTTTTTTTTTTTTCAAATTCCACTACCAAACACACCTCATTGGTGATGACTTCGTGTATATGAAGTCTATAACCAAGTTTGTAAATTATTATTATTATTATTTTGGGACTATGATTTTTGTCGCCATAAAGAGAGAAATATTCTCAGATATTATTTATAAATAACAGCCACAAATATTATGATACATGGTGGTGGAACTCCTATTTTAACGCAACGTTCTACCAGGGGAACTAAAGAAAAGCCCTACAAATGAATTACATAAAGGAACTGGGATTATTTACATGATCAATGCTAGGCCTGCCTGCCTGCCGATGTGCGACAGGCTCCATCAGTCGCCGCCTGTCGCAATGTCGGCAGAAATTCACTTATTATATGTAACACAGCTTTACATGAAGTTGCTTTCCCATGTACTAAACAGTACAATAATGTCCAAATAAAATCAAGTGTCGCTCCAGTTGTCATCTTCTTCTCCATCATCGCTCCCAACAGCCTAACAAGTATTTGAGTAAAATTGATGGGTTGATACATGAATGCAAATGTTACAATAGAATTAAAAAGGCCAAAAAAAAAAAAAAAAAAAAAATTCAAGAGAAGATGTGAAAAACCTGGCGAATTGCATGTGCCTTCTCCAAAATTGCTGCGACTTTAACATCGGCAGTGGTGGCCATAGGTGTTTCGGTCGGCAGTGTTGTCGTGGAACATCTGAGACTAAATGACTAGGTAATACAAGAAAGATGAAAGCATAAATCAGCTAGAATGAATCACAATTGATTAATCCTCCTGTTATAAACGTAACCAAAAAAATTGAAAGAACCTTACCTGAAATAGAAAAGGGAAAAAAAAAAATAACCCTTATAAAATATATATATTTGCAAGGTTCAACTTGCATATGTGGATCTGATAGACTTAAAACAAAAATAGGAATACTGCTCGAACTTAATGAGGAACCATGGAGCTACTCCTGAAACAATTGTGGCTCCAGAAAGGAGCCATGTAGTTTGTTAATGAGCTCAATCTCATTGCTTCGTGGCATTAGTTAGATTCACACCCTTAAAGACTGGTTTATTTGCAAAGTTGATGCATTTTGGCAGTAGTGGCAAATTATTATAGTTTGTCACTATTAATGTTATATATATATTAATTCCAAAAAAAAAAAGTACCTTAAATCAACAAATCTAGCATAATTTCAGAAATAACGAAGAGCAGAATGATTAGTACTTCTGATTAGAATTCTTAGGTAAAAAAATTTAGAGGAGTGCTAAACACAGTCGCACCTTTTATTGATTTAAAAATAAGTAGTAATTAATGTGTCTTTCCTAATTTTTTAGAATTTTAAAATTTCAACTTTAAGACCAAATTACCCTTTTAAATTATTTCTTCTTTCTTTATACCTAATAACCTTTCTTCTTTCCTTTGTTACATATATTAACTTTATTTTTTTTCTTTATTTTTAAAAATTGTTTTTTTTTTTTTTTTTTTTTTCTGATTGGATATATATGGCTATATTTCATTATTTACATTCTTCATTATTTACTTTCTTTCTTTTTTTTATTCACTTGTCTTATATATATATATATATATATATATATATATATATATATTCCACCTTGATGGATTTTTTATTGGATTTTATGTAATTTAATTGAAATAACCGTATGAGATTAAGTTTTAATTGAAGTAATATTATAAAATCTGAGTTTTAGTTAATATGTTAAACAAGAGAAGTATGGTTTTCTAATCTATTCACAGTAAATTACTATATATGTGTGTGAACAAAGAAAAGAAAATAATTGAAAAAAAAAAAAGAAAAAAAAAAAAAAAAAGAAAAGGAAAGAAACAATCAATTTACATCACAGAATTTTTTTTTTCTCTCACTTTAATATGAATCTAGAGAATAGAGGGGAGAAACAGTGAGAAACCCGAGTATATAAATAGTTAAAAACATTTGCAAAGAAAAAAAAAAAAAGAAAAAAAAAAAAGAAAAGGAAAGAATAAGGTATGTAAGCAAAGAAAGAATCAAAAATTATATAGGTGTACACGTACAAGTAGGATACAAAAGAAAGAATAAATATAAAAGGGTAATTTGGTCCTAAAAGTGAAAATTTTATAGTTCCAATAAAATAGGAAAAGACGCATTAATGATATCTTCTATAATTAATTTTTCAGCTAATAAGAGGTGGACTGTGAATGGACAGTCGCTTGCGCGACTGTGTTTGGCAAACCTCAAAAGTTTAAGTGCATAAGTCCGGGCATAGGATAACATATTAAGTGATTATATCTACAGCATCTGCCTTCTAATGCATGCGAAATCATATTATAAGAGTTATTTAACTTCTGAAAAATACCTCATTTAGTCTTTGTTCCATATTAAACCTACCCCACAAAAATTGCTATCGAGAGATCACTTGGATTTACAGAAACTACCAAATTGCGACCAATTATGACTACTCACTTTTGTTCTAATCTGCTGTAGGAAATCTTTATTTTCATCCATGCTCTTGCTATTCGTCGTCTGGTCAGCTCCTTTCTGCCCATTTAAGTCCAGCTGTTCTGGCTGCTGCATACATGGAATAGTCAATTTTATGTTATTATCCACTCCTTATGTATGAAAACTCACATGGTCCATATATAGGCACATTGATTTCTGCCTATGATCTATTAATTAAATAAAAATCATGCAGACAAAACTAAAACTGTCACCTTGCACTTCAGTGGAAATGCAATGAGTTCCTCAATGTTTTGTTTCTGTTGTCGTTGTTTAACTGGGATTGGCTCAGACTGCATAGAAATGGTAGATCCTAGAGGCTCCATATTAAATGCGTGATTGAGCGCTTCAAATACAGCATCTTGCTTATTTTCTACCACATCTGAATGGAATTTTATAGCTCGCCATTCCAATGGCGGGAGAGGTGGAGGTTGTGGAGTAGGCTCCTTAAGGAAGTGCAACTCTAAGAGATCCTTTGCATCATTGTTTATTTCCTGCTCAAATAAAGGGTTCAAAGTATTGAAACTTTGAAGATCAAGCAAATGACCATCGTTTCCAGCATAGGGGCTTTGAAGTCCAGAGTCAATACCGATGCTTCTCCCAGCTCTTCCTTCAAGCTCCATAGAACTAGAAACAGAATCCATAGATGAGATTTTGAATAAAGCATAATAAAATTCATGGTCCTTGTTTTGGGAAGTTTCGCTAGCTTCCCACTGCTCAGGATTTGACTGAGAAGAGTGATGGCTAAGACAATCATCAGACATACATGGAGATGATCTATAAGATGCGTCATTGTCATTTTCTGAAACATCATCATTCAGTGGAATAACTGGCTCTGGGACCAACTGAAATGTACGAAACATGTCTTCACTATTTTCATTACAATAACTCCGATCCAGAAACTTCAGTGTGAGTTTGGAATTCTCAAGGCCATTTACAGGCTGCAAAGATATCTTCATATGTTCAAGTGGTGGAGAAGAAGGAGGTGAAATTACTAGAAGTCCACCTCCAAAATGCTCCTTGAAGCGTGTCCCAGAAAAAGTTATAGTTTCAACGGATTGGTTCCTGCTCTTCTGCACAAGAACACCAGATTTCACAGAGCTAGTAGATTCAGGATTCTCATCCTGAACAAGTAATACTTTTCTTGGGAAACCATTTACAAGTAATCTATGGGAAAGTCCAAACTTGTCAGTTGAATTTTCACCATCCTCCTGGCTGGCTTCAGTAGATAAGGCTTTGACATGTGAAGTGACTGACTGCTTAATTCCAGGTGTTGCTACACCAGTTTCATTCAAATTCTTCCAATGGGCATGATTAAATCTATCATTATGACCTGAATCATCAACATTTGGGATTAGGGAGCCAGAGTATGACGACATATTGCTGATAACAGATTCTATCTTTGAACCACCAACAATATCAGCATTTACAAAGAAACCAGTGTCCAGTGTATTGCTGGGATTAGAAGATTTTCCAGCCATTTGAGGTGAATATTGATGGGCATACGACTCTGAAGAGATTGAGTCAGGTTTATCATATGATGTTCCTTCATTTGGCAAGCTATAAGCTGGAGCATGAGATTCAAAATCTGACAGACGATGGTCTGGATTATGAGCTCTAAGCCCATGCATTCCATCTTCTTTACCTTCATCATTAAAATTGGAAGATCGTACCAGTTCTTGCTTTGTTTGGCAATCTAAATAAGTTTCAGATTCTGATTCAATGGTGTTAAGTGCATCCATATACTTGTCGGGTTCACTTTCAATATCAACAAGCTGGTTTTCACCAAAGATTGATGCTGGTGTGTAGTCATGAACAAAATGGAAATCCATTTGATCAACACTTCTGAAGTTAGCAGCATTTTTCTCCTGAGTATCTAGGTCAAAGTTTGTTGGGAACATCTCTGAAGTTCTACTACGATCACACTGCTCCCTTGCAGGCTCCACTATTTCTGTCTTTTCATCCCAAGTGACATCAGATGAAGTGCGGCCAGTTTGCCCCTGATATGAACTCCTAGGAAAATCATCTAGAGCTCCAATACGTTTATCAACAAAAGCTGAATCAAGGGTATCAGAGTGCTGCTGCTGCTGCAGCATCTTTAATCTAGGAGAGGATGACTCGTGATCTTCAGGTTTCATGAAGTTTTTTGGATGGAAAACACATTTTTTGTAGCCCGAATCAGTTCTTGAATCAGAAGAATTTGATGTCTTTCCAAGGTCAGATTTCAATGTAACATCAAATGTGGAGACAGTCTGAGTAGAATGCTCATCAATGCCTAAAGAAGCAAATTGCATTCTGCATAGTCGGATGTACAAACATTTTAGAACAAGATAACGATTTCAGAGCAAACTGCCAAAAGAGAAGCTAGTAGAATAATACTCCATTTCCCCACACCAGTTTCTACAACAATATACACACATAGACCACAAATAAAGTACCTGCCAAATTGAGTTGATATTGCTGTACCATATGACACTTCTCCATTTCTCTGACATGTTCTTTTGTTCTGCTCATTTTTCAACATCTATTTTTCAGAAAATAGTATACGCAGCAACATAGAAAGTAATATATGAATTTGCTCAAATCTAAATTTCTATTGTATGTAGATAAATATCAAACATGAATTGATGAACCCTTGGTAAAGGAATCTTTTTTGAGGAATTATTTTATCTCATAATTACTGTCCTAATTTTCCTGCCATATCCAAAGACAACCTAGCAGGCAAGTTTACCCACAATGACAATAATCTTTGGAACTCTAATGAGGGCACTTAGTTGAATATACCTACAGAGTAAACTAGTAATCACCATCCATCTCTCTTACCTAGCTAATGTGGATGGAATTTTTTCAAAACGGCTAAAATTTAAGGTTGACTATCTGCGTTTTTTCAAGACATACCTTGATTCTATGATCCTTCTTATTTTTTGGTACTTTCTCAGCATTTGTTCTATCAGGGCTGGCTGATGCCCCCTTAAAGAAGGTTGGATCTGAATATCTCTTTATGCAAGATCCTGGGCCGCCACTGTCAAATCTGGAAGACAAAGCTGAACATTTAAATATCAGGCAGTAAAGTAGAATGAGAACTACAACAGAAAGAGTCGAATATACTTGTCAAGCAAGTGCAGCTGTGGAGGATCATGACACTCCTCATAGGAATCCATAATAAATCGTGGTAAGTCTTTGCAAATAAAGTGATTTTGTTCATTTTGGATGCAGACATGCCAGTCAGTACCTGCAAAGCAACTGCTTTCCTTAAAGGACCAGAAAATACTGCAAATTAATTTAGTTTAGTTCTAGGAACAAGTTAAGGATGAAAAATTACCTACAAATCAATTTAAACATATGTAAGTCCATGAGTGAGCATTAGGATTATAAGTTGAATCGGTCTATATAGGCACACCATGCCACCACTTCATTAAATGCACTGATATTACATTTCCTAAGCAATCAAAGCAAACAAACTTTAATCATGGAAGCATAATGTTTAGCCAAATTATCACTCATTATGTGAAGTGGGCATTTTAATGAGATCAAATGGAACTGAAACTTATAAGGGCGATTTTTCCCATGGATGAATTGAGACTTCAGTCTTGTTCGAATGTCATCAAAGAGTTTCAACTTAATTACAATTAAAATTAAAGTTCCTTATAATTTCATCCCTTATAATTCTTCTAATGTTCTAATTAATTACCGGAAGCGTTACCACTGATGATGTGTATTTTCAGCTGGGCATTGTTGATGATGTGTATTTTCAACTGGGTATCGTTCAGCAGTGATGGGACTCAGATCCTAAATCAGCTAGACCACTGCATTATTCTAGGGATTAAGATCCAAGCTAGGTCAATGATTAGGTGAATCTGCCACTGAGATACATGCTACCCGCACTCGGCATTTGTACGTGGATCCAATTAATGAAGTTTCTAACTATGAAAACTCACAAACTGTCAAACTTCTTCATCATCGTTCTTGCCCTTATCTCATATGAAACTTAGCCACTTGAATTCTCTTTATCCATTCTATTCTATTACAAGTCATATCACCACTCGTATTTATGTTTATTATTTTTTAATGTCATTTCTAATTTATCATTACAAGTTACTACTGGTTGACCGGTTTTTCTCTTACCTTCTATGCAAACTAGTCTTCTTCTTCCTAGTGGTGCATCTGCAGGTCTACTATGTTGCGTATGTCCATACCATCGAAGCCTACTTTCTCTTATTTTATCAGTAATAGGTGTTGCTTCTATTCTCCCTCTCACATTTTGATCATCAAGTCTATCTCTGCTACTATCATCCATCTCCACATTCTCATTTCAGCTACATGAATAAATTGTTCTTATATCTTTGTCAATACCCAACACTATTTTGTATATAATATAGCTAGCCTAATAACCATCCTATAAAACTTCCCTTTTAACTTGTTTGATGGTTTGATAGTGCTTGTTTTTTACTTTTTATTTTAAATCTAATAGTTCAAATTCCAATATTACTACCAAAAAAATAAGCAAAAGCGTCTAGTACATATAATTTCTTACATATGGAAAGCTCCTTTAGCATTTTTAGTGCTGCTGCTATCATATTATTTTTCGTGCCATGTTATTGATGTCATTATAAATTCAGTCCATATTGGTAAGTAGAACAGGATGAGAAATTTGAGGATTAAAATGGCTTATGCGTATTTTTCTAAAGTGAAACTACATTGACTAAGCTACAACTCATTTGATCATCAGTTTACGGAAAATAAGAATGGGAAGCAATCTAACACTTGCCATAAATAAAGAACTATTGTTTCCCACAGACAAATATACAACCAATTTGCACATTAAATGTCCACAAAAAAGATATAGAATCATTAGAAAAAAAAAACACAAGTAAATGATGCATACCAGCAGTGTAAGCAAAATGAAGGTGGCCTCTTTGGGCTAGTATGGTCTTCTCAAGCGGAGGAACTGCAGTTTCGATGTGTTTTACACGAGCCATCAACTTATGGATTCTAGAAGCCGTGGTCATCGTTTCTTCCTGTAGGCTATGGAAAACCTCTGCTGCAAATCTACCAAATGCGGAAGATGCTATCTTAGCATACTAATGTAAGGCTAGAAACATTTCGAACATAACTTAACCAGTGAAACTTATAGCAAACAAATTGCAGATACCAGGAGACATCTAACACTTCAACACGATCATTGCTCTAAGAAAACTACGAACATTTCAAGTTTTGTAAATTAATAAATGCCTGGTTGTATAGAGCTTTACATCAAGTCACTGCAATATTCATAGTTGAACCTCTACGTTCAAGCATGATTATCAATAATCTGGCTTAGGATAATACAAAATCGAAATTAGATACCAGCTTTCCAGTAATTTCAGTGACTCATAATTTTCTGACTCCAATTTGTCTGTAATGAATCCTTCTACTTGAAAAAAATAAAGCAATTATTGCATCTGTTAAAGCACAACTTCACCAAGATACTGTAGCATAGACTAAAGGCTCTTCAAATTGCATCAATCTAGTGTGTGTATCTAAAGCCTTCTTCTCAATTTCTAAACTTCATCTTACATGATAAAGAGTAAATTAATTTGATTAATTTGTAACTGTATATGTGTGATAAACTACAGTTGAGTTACAAAATTTACTTATATGTACAAATGCATGCCATTTTACATATATGTGTGTGCGTATAATTTCTCATACTTCAAGTTTTTCTGGTTCTCTCTCATATTCTGATTACAATCAACAAATTAAACAAAAATGAGCATTGGAAAAGAGAACTGATTATTATTATTTTATTTAATCGTAACAAAATTCGAAGTTAGAAAACAACAACTATAGAAAGAGAAAATGTGGCATTTACTCAGAAAGGTCGCCTAATTGACGCAAAACCCCAACCAGAGCAGAGACAGCAACACCATCAAGCACAGCTTTTGGATCTTCTCGGTTCGCTTCTTTGTACAGCTCTGGTAATCCCAATCCGTACACATTGCTCAACTGAAATCGCGCTAGAGGCATATCTTCTCTCTCTGTGTGCTCCAAACTCTGTGCTTTCTCTCTCTAAAAATTCCAAGAAGACAGAGAGAGGAAAAGAGATGGTGGTACAGGGGAATTAATGGCGGAATAAATGTATGAAGAGAGAGATAATGTGCGTAGGTTGAGACAATGGGATTAGGTGAAGCGAGAGGAGCAGCTTAACTGCCCAGATATATATATATAACTGCCCAGATATATCTATATATATATATATATATATAGATATGTGTGTGTAAGTGTGTGTAGACAGTTGCAATTTAATACCACTGTACAATTTTAAGTATGTGTGCCCACAGTCCACCGATTTCAAGCTAATTTGGAGCCAATTAATTTGTAGCGGTTGCTTGAAGATTGGAATCGAAATGGGAATCTTTAGTACTACCATATGGAACCAAATCAAACTAAATTATGAAACATCATTTTCATTATATATATATATATATATATATATATATATATATATATATATATATATTGTTGAAACAAAGTAAAAACTTATCAGAAGTATACCAAAGCAAAACAAAGATGTGAGATATATTTTTGTAATTGGCATATTTCGGTAACAAAACAAGTTCTAGTCAAGTTGTAATTTCAGTTATTATATGAGACTCGACATCAACTGCGGAATTCGTAAGTTGTTCAGAATAGTACTGTTGATCATTGAAAAGGAAAAAAATAACATATTAGGACATCGTTTCCCACTAAGGACATAAATACCTATATGGTATATTTTCCAGAAGTTCCAAAAACAGAAAATCCAAGTACAAATTGGATTCTGTCAAGTGGGAACTAGTACTTGAATTTGGGAACCGGTTCCAGAAGTTAAGATTCGAAGAACTTCATTCTGTCCTTTGGGAACCGATACCAAGAGAGGGAACTGGTTCCAGGAGTCCTGATTGCAAAAGATTTTCACTTACCTTGTTTTGTTTGATTCCTTTTTTATCCAACTTTCCTTCCAAGTCCTATGCACGAAATTACCTTTATTTTCAAAAGGAATAGGACTTTGCAAACCTCTATATAAACCATGTCATACACATAGGTTTATTAACGACTTTTGTTATACAAATTCATTATTCTTAAAAGCCCTAGGAAGATTATTTTTGTAGAAAATCAGAATTGATTTTTCTGTCATATTTCTAGAACACATACACATAAACACATAGTGAGTTTAGAGTTGTGGTGTTCAAATCATGATCGTGATCATATAGTTGCATCTACATCGATCAGACAAAGGCAGATCTACTTCTACATCGAATCCAGATGATTGAAGAACAGAAATAAAAGCGATCACACTTTGAAAGGGTTGGAGCATTCGAGGAGTGTTGTCTAATCTACCTGCTACTCTTCTACAAATATCAAGCTTAAGCCTGAGGTCAAGTTACTGTTGGACGGGGAGTCACAAAGTCAGAAGATTGTCAACAATTAGTGTTTGGTAGAACGATAGGGTGTGAGCCAGAGTCAAAGTTAATTGTACTTTGTTTCAAGCATAGTGGATCGGTTTACTTTGGACTGCACAGTCTACGAGGTCTTTCCCACGCAAACAGTTAACGTATTTTATCAACTTGGGTTTCCTCACTAAAAATCCTGGTGTCATCTCTAACTTTACTTTGCTTTATTTTACATTGCATGATATTAATTTATTAATTGTTAAAATAAAGAAAGTTAGAAAAATATAAGATCTGTTTTCAAAATAAAGAAAACTTTCTAAATATTCCGATGCATACGACTCACAAATTGGTATCAGAGCCAATCTCTACATATTGAGTTGATCCTTGTAAAAGTTTTGTTTTTGGAAAAATAAAATTATAATTGTTTTTGAAAATAAAATTATTTTTGTTTTTCAAAAATTTATAATGGAAAATCCTATGAATAGATTGGATTTTGTATGTGATGATGAAATAACTCTTATGTCTAAAAGTCTTAGTAGGGTCCTTAAAAATAGCAAGAATTTTAAGGAGCAATCTAAGAAGTTGAGAAAAGTAGAAAAGGAAAGAGATTCATTGAAGAAGAAGGAAGAGCAAAAGCAAAAATTGTTTAAGGAGAATAAATTTGAAATTCAAAATCTTTATGACAAGGTAAAATTTCTTAAGAGCAAGGTAAGTCAAGTTAATTCGGCTGGAGAATCTTTTATTGCCAAATTTAATTTTCTTGAACTTGAATTGAAAAAATCTCAAGAGAAATTAATTGTTTTTACTTCTGGGCAGAGATGATAATGTTGGTAAGCATGTAAGTGATAAAACTGGATTAGGTTTTAATGACGTTTCATCTAGTAAAAAAGGTCACACTATTTTTGTTAAACACATGAACTTGAATGTGCCTATTGTTAAGCCTAAAGTTTTTGTTGAGCCTATGCATGCTAAGAATGTGTCCAAGATGCTTTATTGTTCTTATTGTGATAGAACTAGACATAGTCAACACTATTGTTATAAAAAGAAAAGGGAGAATTCTTTTTATGATATTCATGGTTATAATTTTTTTGCACAAAATAGGTTTCATGCTAGAAAGCACAATTGGAATAAACCTAGATATTTTCTTGCTAAAAAGAATTCACACTGGAAAAAGAAAGGTTTTTCTAAAATTCATTCTCATGATATTTATGTAAAGAAAATGGTGAGTTCTAAAAGGAAAAAGAATTTTGCCACCTAAGTTTTCTAAAGCTGAAAATTTGCCTAAGAAAGAGGTAAAATGAGAGAAAATTTTAGGAAGTAAGAGTAAAGACTGTGTGGATCAAAAAGACTGATCTGATCAATTTTGTGCCTATTGAGTCCATGGAACTAGATTCCAAAAGGACTTCACCTTTAAACTGAGTCCTATGAAATTCAGTAATCATGGCTTATGTTTAAAAGAAAATTCTGTTGCCATTTGATCACTTGTTAGGGTTTGGTTAGGGTTTTAAGTTTCTCATCATAGTCTTCATAATATATGTCACGACCCGACAATTCCAATAAAATCCTCAATTTATACAAGTCCAAATACATCATAATACACACAGGATCATTAAAAAATGTCCTTTTTAATACAAAGTGAAATTCCTCAAAAATACAAAAAAATTCTCCAAATAATAAAAAAAAAACTCGCAACGCCAACTCTTCATCCTAAGCCCGTATCTATGATCCCTGTTCATCTTCGGTACCTGAAACTGGAGAGTGGTGAGACAAAAAGTCCTAGTAGGAAAAACCATAACAAGAATTTCATGGAGGTTTAACAAAAACTTCACAAAATAAACATATACAGGTGAGTATAAACAAAATACATATGCTTTTAATAAAAACAGTTAATAAAAACCATTGAAGCAAAACCACTCCAAACCATTCAATGTATAGAGAACTCTACACTGAAAAAGATTAATTGCCTACTGGATCATCAAAAACCTCAAACCTCCGGCCTCCTCTATAGACTCTCGGCTCACACTCTGTCCTTCCTCAACCTCGGCCCTCTGCTCACTCTCAGACCTCACTGTCCATCTCTGCTCTCACTCTTTTTAATTTTTTTCTCTTTACCAAACTCATACAACATACTACAATATATAAGAAGTTTTGCACCGACATAATTCACACAAAAACTTCCTCATCACACATATTAGCTCAATGAACTCCACCACCCACTCATTACTTCACATTTAACAATTACAATATCTTACTCCAATGCATCACAGACCAGACCCACGTGAACAAAGTCAAGGATTGTGGCCACAAAACACCTAGTGGGTCCCGCCCCACTATTACAATTCTGTTTTTCTTCTTTCCATCATACCACTTCAACAATCCCACGTGCACAATTAAAACCACACCAGCCTAATGCATGCACACAAAAGTTAACAATTCCAAACCATTACTCAATCTCCATCTCTTGTGGGCCCGCCAAGACATCACTACAAGCTTCATTATTATTCTTCATTTATTCTTTTCAATTTTGCCACCTGCTCCTTTTCCTTCAGAACTTATATATATATATATATATATATATATATATATATGAAATAAAAAAACAAAATCCAACCCCATTATCTCCTTATGGGCCCCGTGAATAAATTACCAAAATTCTCTTTTTCATCTCTTATCATTTCGACATAGCCACAAGCTACCTTCTCTTCTGATACAATAAATATGTATATATATATATATATATACACAAAACCAAATCAAATAATTATCATGGGGCCCGCAAAAATAATCACAAATTCAACCTTCCATACTCCTCCCATCCAGTTGACCACCTCTTCCTTCCAACAGAGGCACAAGGTATGCATATATAAAATATCAAACCCACAAACTTTTCCTTCTCTCTCTCTGAATTTCGTCCCAGTGACCATTCTCCTTTATACAAGCACAAAACTAAATCAATTCAAAAACAATCTCCAATAAAAATTAAATAAGATCAGTAAAAATCATAAAATAAATTTAATTAAAATCCTAAAAATCTGGATCATCACAATCTCCACCACTTAAAAAGAATTTCTTCCTCAAAATTCAGGTCCAACAGTTAGTGTACTCGAAAACACCAATAACCATAAAACCAAATCCACAAATCCTTACCCTAGGCGATGTGGAATATAGTGATATGTAGGACGTTGTGGTAGCTGACAGTGCTAGTCACCCACCCACACACTTTGTAACCGTTATGGTAGCTGGTCGATGCGTCACCTGCCCACTAAAAAATATAAACAATAACAAACCTGGGCTACCTGTCCAACCACACTAACCAACCATCCCAGTGGCTGCCAGTGACCGCCATCCGCCCACACACACCCGGCTACGAGTGGTAGCTCGCCAGTACTACACACTCGCCCACTCACACCCGTCTACATCATCACTACACTCTCACACTTTCGGCTGGATACAAGCTCTGATACTATTTTGTCACGACCTGACAATTCCAATAAAATTCTCAATTTATACAAGTCCAAATACATCAAAATACACACAGGATCATTAAAAAATGCCCTCTTTTATACAAAATCAAATTTCTCAAAAATACAAAAAAATTCTCCAAATAATAAAAACAAAACTCGCAAAGCCAACTCTTCATCCTAAGCCAGTATCTACGATCTTCGTCCATCTTCGGTACCTAAAACTGGAGGGTGGTGAGACAAAAAGTCCAAGTAAGAAAAACCATAACAAGAATTTCATGGAGGTTTAACAAAAACTTCACAAAATAAAC